ATGACAAATTGTTACGTAAATAAAAATTTTCCCTGAAATACATGACAATTGTACCTGGTCAACATAGGGTGCTAATTCATCCATGGCACCTGATCCTACCTCTGATATTTTCCAGTTTTCTGAAGGTTTTTCTGCACCAAATTTTATTGTCTGAATGGACTTTTGAGCTTGAATACTATTCTTTATATCCCTAGGTTTTAACAATTTTAATAGGCATTAAGCAAGTGCTCTTTTTCTCTTGTGTCTTGATTTCATCAAAATAACTAGCTTTCATCTCATGTTCATGCCTGAATTAAAACTGGTTAGTAAACTGCCACATGTGCATTATGATTATCTGCGGTAATTATATTTGTCAAGACATAAAACCTTTCAAAAATGTCACTTGCATGGCACAGTGGTTTGAGCGTCTGCTCTAGAGCTCACAATGTAAGTAGTTGATCTTTACATAAGTTCGAATCCCACTGTGGGACGTGGAGACCGGTCCTTCCGGATGAGACCATATAAACCGAGGTCCGGTGTTGCAGTAGGCTCTGGCACGAAAAAGATCCCTTCCAGCTCAATGGGTGTAAGTGCCGAGTAAAGGACAAGATATGCAGCTGATCTCCTCCGGCAAATGGTGGCATCTCCATAGGAGTGAAAAATTCTTACTGTCAGATCTGTGTTGCTGAAAAATTTACTGTGTCAAACACATAAAACTTGATAAGTACTGTGTCAGAGAAAATTTCACAGTGCAGGGGGGGACAAAGTAAAACAGCTCATGGGAAACCCTGATATGAGGATGGAAATACCTTACAGGAAGGATCTGCCCCACATTCCTCCTTAATAACTGGCTAAATAAAGATGGCTGGACACAAAGACTGAATGATTTCATTTTTCTTAGGTTTATATCTCAAAACAGTCCTAAATTGGGATTCTCTTAACTCAAAGTAGAATTTAAATAATAAAATGTCCTAGATTAAATTCTAGCAAAGAACACAGTAAAATTATTCAATACACTGTACTAAATTTATGCTCCCATAATTGAAGAAGGGAATTATGTACTTTCTGCCCCATCCATCTGTCTGTCTGTCAGTTGCCTGCAAAAGTTTAACTGTTTTTGTTCACAACTTTTTATTAGTTGAATCTATGTTTTTTTCATATTTCACATGTGCATTCTTTGTCATGTAACTTGGACTTTCTTTGGGTACCAATATATTTGACCTTGACCTTGAAGTCTGACCCAATTTTAAATGAACTCACCAAACTTTAACCTTGGCCTAAATTTTGAATAGGTGGTACTTGGGCTTTAATTTTTTTTTTTGTTTCAAATATTTGTTACAGATTTTATTTGACAGATTTAGACGGTTTATGCGAACACTTAATCATGTGGGAAATTTGAGGATTTTTCAATGTACAAGAAGCAAGATTATAACACTGACTACACTTGAAAATTTTGAAATGCAAAAATAAAGGTTTATTATGCTTTAGTTAATGATAGTTGTTGTATTTAAGACTATTCAATAATTACTTTTCCTGTTATCAACATCGGTACACTGATCAAACTGAGCCAGAGTTGATTACTGATGAGTGAGAAGTTACTGTGACCATGTAATTCAGGAGGAAATGGCAGCTCATCCCGGACAATCTACAGCAGTGTCTATCATGGTGTGAAGTATTATCTCATATACAAAGCAATATTCAAATGGCATGAAGTATCTCACATCTATAGCTGTGTTAATGGTGTAACTTGTAGAGTATACTTGCTAGTGTTGTAAAATCAGACATATTTTACTATCGATTATCAAATTGAATCGGAAGAACACAATCGATTACATAATCGATAATTTGAACTATTAAAAAGGTTAAATTTATTAATTCAGCACGAGTAGAATTCCATGACATTTGACCGCGAACTTCAACTTATCTTTATTGGCAGACGACATTTTACACAATTTACAAATAATCGAGTCCATCTGTATATTATTTTTGCATGGAGGCCCATCGCCCTTTTTCAGAAAGCCAAAAAATTTCGAACTTTAGATCGTATTGCACCAGGATATTGATATAATTAGGCGTCAACCTCTTCACCATGCACGTTTGCCATTTTGTTTACCGCCGATTAGAGTGACTTCCCTTTGGTGAATATAAAAGTTGAACCTGATCGGCTTAAAAAATACGACATGAAAAATATAGCGATCTATCGATAATAATATTTACAATCGATTGTCGCCGACCTGGGCCTTTTAACGACGATTTTTCGATAGTCGGCAACTATCGTAACAACACTAATACTTGCCCACATAATCTCACATGTATAGCATGTTAATGAAATAAAGTACTTGTATATCTCACAGTAGACTAGTGTAAATGTGTTAAGAACCTGTGAATCTCACATTTGCAGCAGTGTAAATGGTGTAAAGTACTCACATACCTAACATTCATAGCAGTGTAAATGGTGTAAAGTGCTCACATACCTAACATTCACAGCAGTGTAAATGGTGTAAAGTACTCACATATCTCACATTTGCAGCAGTGTAAATGGTGTAAAGTGCTCACATACCTAATATTCACAGCAGTGTAAATGGTGTAAAGTGCTCACATACCTAACATTCACAGCAGTGTAAATGGTGTAAAGTACTCACATACCTAACATTCACAGCAGTGTAAATGGTAGTAAATGGTGTAAAGTGCTCACATACCTAACATTCACAGCAGTGTAAATGGTGTAAAGTACTCACATACCTAACATTCACAGCAGTGTAAATGGTGTAAAGTACATGTGTATCTCGCTCTACAGCAGTGTATTTGGAATAAAATACTTGTGTAGCTCACATCTACAGCAGTGTATTTGGAATAAAATACTTCGGTAGCTCACATCTACAGCAGTGTATTTTCCTATTTGGAATAAAGTACTTGTGTATCTCATAATTGGTGTACTACTTGTGTATCTCACATCTACAGCAATGTAATTGGTGTTTAGTATGTGTGCATTTCATATTGTAAGAAAATAGGAGGCTGAACACTTCAATACATCCCTCATAATAAACTGCATGACATTTGTCTTCTCTATACTTTATTTTTACCCCCCCCCCCATTTTTAATGAAAGTTCAGCACTAATGCAAATCCCACAACTCAAATCCAACAAAAAATCTGAATCAATTAAAGAAAATATGGACAAAATACTGTGTAAAGTCATTACGTTTAAATTAAAATTGAAGTTTCTTTTGAGAATTAAATTAGTGCAAGATTCCTCCTGCTTTTGTAAGGGGGCTAGCTGCAGATCTGTAGCTCTCCGAAAAAAAATATTGATAGACCGGAGAGCTACAGAGCCAACCATTGAAAAAACTGTATATTTATTGCGCACAAAAAAATGCGCTCAGTTCTTGATTTATTTCTCCATGTTTTTAAAGCTGTAATCTCAAAATATTACTAACCGTGTGTTCCTAACATATTCTTTGACTCTTTCCACAACAAAACATTCCTCATAATTGTTGTTAATAGTCCTCCTGGCCCTGATATTGCAATCATAGGACTTTTCGCTTATTTATTCTGCCATTTTGGTTTCAAAGATAATTCGGTCCAATATGCTTCGTTCAGATGTCAACTACGAGAGAACTTGCTAGAGGAGAGAGTAATTTTTTGAAATCTTCCGTTTTTTGCAATTGAGGTAAGAATTTGGAAAAATTAATCAAGAATCGAGCGCACTTTTTGTGCGCAATAAATATACAATTTTTTCAATGGGTGGCACTGTAGCTCTCCGGTCTATCAATATATATTTTTTAGGAGAGCTACAGATCTGCAGCTAAAGGGGGCGGGCTAGTAAAATTTTGCTTGGGCATTAGCTCAGGGCTATTGTAAAGAAAAACTTATTTCAATGAGAATTTTTTTCTTTAAGAATGTGGCAAGTTTATTCACAAGAATTAAGATTTAATCTAGAAACACCCTCTGCTATTAACACTCTATACTAACAGGTCCAGTCCAAAGACTATTTCTACCTACGTAGCTATGAATAGCTACGTAGGTATTTAAACCTACCCAAAGTAGCTATTTTTACCTACTTTCTGCTTTACTTGCATTTTGTGACCAAAAGCTGGAACGGCGCAACATGGTGAGCTCCAAATTTCTTGATACAGTCACACTTATGATGGATATAACAAAAATTTGGCCGAAAAATGATTACTTCGTATATTATCAATTTTGCATAGAAACTAATGTAAAATTGCCAATTCAGAAAGTAATCATTTTTTGACCAAAATTTTGTTGCATTCACCATCAGTGCGACTGTATAAAAAAATATGGTATTCACCATGTTGCGCCGTTTGGTCTCTTGGCCACAAAATAATACAAAAAGTAGGTAAAAATAGCTACTTTGAGTAGGTTTAAATACCTACGTAGCTATTAATAGCTACATAGGTAGAAATAGTCTTTAAACTGGACCTGACTAAGTTAGCATACAAGAAGAAAGATTCCTTTAACAGTCACCCTTAAAATTCTGTAATATATATGTGGTATTACACTGAAGCTTTAAAGCATTGTTAACCTTCATATAACAAAGAAAGAAAAACCACGTAATATTACGTACACTAGGATATCACACTACACCTTAGGCAAAGACATGTGCCAAGTCATTATAACGAGTTTTGATACACTCCCTAGCATTATAAATAATGCATGGAAAAACGTTCCGTAATGTTTATCAAACCCAAATTTGTCTTCAAAAATAAAAAGTATCCTGGATACGACTTCTCATGAATAAAAAATAAATGTTTGGTTAAAGAAATGGACTCGCATTCCAGAAACGCAAATTAAGACCACACCATAACGGGCTAAGAACTTGATTACACATGAACAACCCCTCACAAGTAAACACGCAAACACAGAGTCAACTAAAAAGGTACCCAACGCACTTGTTTCGGACACAAAAAGGTTAAATAAAATATTAAACTTGCGATTAAAAGCCCTAGAAGTCACAGGACCTTTTATTGAATTGAGTGTGAAGTGAGAAAACAGGAAAACTCACCGACAAATCGGAGCGACTGCTGTCTCGCGAGGACACTGCTCGTACAACGCCTGACCGCCATTCCCACTCGCTGATCTTGCCAAGTTTTAACTTTGCTTGGCTTTTCACGGAGAGAAATCTCTTCCCAACTATTTCCTCTCTGCACTTGAAAGCCATACTTTCAGTGTACACTCATTTTCACATAGTAATCCGTTTAGAAATCAGCAAAAACTCGAGAAACAATTTGTAGGGTTTTCTCCTGTCTCTGATTACGAAGCGGATGAATACCAAACACAAGTTTGACATTTAGGTCAAAAGGTCAAACTTTACAAAAATATCCGATATGAAATATAGTTCCCTAGGATAGGTATATTTCCAAATATTAGATCTAGATACAAGAATTATTTTGCAGGGAAAAAAGTACCGCTTCTAAAAATTTCGAATTATTTCAAAATTAATTTATTGTATGATTAAATTCTCGACAGCATGAAAAAATAGTGCTGCAAGCTTCCTTTAGGCCTAGTAAAATATAATGTTGTCTATGTCCTTTTTAACATGTTCGATAGAGTTTTAAAATTGTATATATTTTCATTTAGGATTTTCTTTCAATATTTATTAAAATATTGAAAGTTTCTTTCCAATATATTGCACGCATGCACATTGTTTTGGTTTTAGCCTCCCCTTGGCTAGAAAAAAATCCGACAGGTGGCACTGCGAAACGTGTTCATAAATGGTAACTTACAAAGTTGCCCAGTGATGAAATTCTGTTGTGTTTGAAGACATTTTGTGTGTAAAATTTTAATGAATCATGATATCAGTCCTTTTATCAAGGATTGTAATGTAAGTATACGTAAATTTTTTAACATGATTTGAGAATCAGAGAAATCTGAACCTATTGATTCAAAATTCCTGGATCTAACCAGTCACTGAGTCAGATTATTTGAACCATCACTCTCATTTAGTTAATTTAGCAATAAACAGCGTCTTTTAACAATTAGTTCTTAATTTAAAGTAGGAAGATGTTTCATTCTTGTTGTAACTCAGGTGGTAGAGAATGTGTACATCGTGCTCACAGTGAGGCTAACAGCTGATCTGAGTTGGGTTACCTGTACTGATCTTCTGATTAAGTTGTATGACATCATAGGCATTCAGAATTAGGAACTAAAGTCTTACTTGCTGCCAAAAAGAAAGTTGAATAACAAAGGTGTTTTTAGAAACTGATGTTCATAGTAATAAAATCATTTGTGCGATTATTATATGCGTGGGAAATCACAGTGCCCATGAGAAAGTCATTCAAATTAGATTTTAGAAATATTTAATATTTTATGGAGGGTTTAGTAATTAGTCTAACCCCGTTTTCTTGAGCTTGATTGAGCTGAGTAGAAGATAGATATCATAGAGTGGGACCGTTTCAGATTTTGTGCAAGTTGAGGAAATTAACACTCAGAATGGGTTTATATTTTGCTAGTAAGTACATCATTATAAAGACCATAGAATTTACAGAATGCTGAATTTAAATGAGGCTTTTGAAGTTTCTGTAACATCAACTGATCTGTCAGTAGCCTGCTTTGGTTTTAAAGAAGAAGAAAAACAACAACACATAATCAATTGTTCAGAGAATGCATGCTCTTTAGTCATATTATGTTAGTAGTTCTTAAATAAAGTTTGGGTATGTAAACACAATATTCAAGTGATCATTTAATATTCTCTATTGAGAAGTTGATGGCTCCTTTTAATACTCCCCCTCAACTTGAGGGGGAGTATTAAGACAAGCCATCAACTTCTCAATAGAGAATAATCATTTAAGAGGGATATTAAATACAGTGTACAAAAAAATAAGGAAAGTTATGGATGGAAAGGTTGAAATCATCTCGACTGTCATACAGTTGAGGTGCTTATTGGTCAATAACTTCTACAGTCAACAAAACATCCATATATGAAACAGATGTGGCAAACTATTTTGTGTTCTCAAATTCAGATGTTTCCTACCCCCCTCCCCTTCTTCAACCTACGTACACTAACAAGCATTTATACAAGCATGGTTTTGATTGATGAAATTTTGACACTATGAGGGTATTTTTTATCAGTTGAGCTGCAATAATCACAAACTTTAAAATCTGCATGATTAGGACAACAGAATAAGTTAAGAAGCAATTAATAAGAGGAGGTCGGGTTAACCTTTTGAGCCATAGGATAATTGTGAACCACTGGTTAGCGATGTAATGTGTACATAGTTACTATTACAAATGTGATCCCTCCCTACTTGTATGGTCCCTGTGTCTTCTAGACATGCAATCACAAACTTGGGGTTCTGTCTGTTCTGAGTGAGTAGTAAATTAAGAACTTAGTTACATTGTAGATCTAGTATATGTACGACCCCTTTCTATATATGCATGGTTTCCATATCATGCTTATTGTGTCTCCCTTCTAGCCATACAGTCACACCTGGAGTTTTGTATATGCACTAACAAATTAACAATTGCTGATGTTTAACCCCTCCCTGTACATGCATGGTGTCCTTATCATGCTTATTGTGTCTCCCTTCTAGCCATACAATCACACCTGGGGTTCTCAGTTTGTCATAACAATTGCTGATGTATGACCCCTCCCTATACATGTATGGTCTCCGTATCATGCTTATTGTGTCTCCCTTCCAGCCATACAATCACAGCTGGGGTTTCGAGTGTATTCTGACATTGTAGATTGATAATACTTATCCTCAGGCTAGTTCACTGTTGTGTGCTGTGAGTTTGTGTGTAACAGGAATGTGCCACATACTCCATTAATGTCAAAACATCCCTAAACATTAGTACTTGTGTGTCGTATATTGTGGAAAATGAATGCAGCTCTTATAGTTGTGTCATATAATAGTATTATAAACCAAGTCTTCTCTGTTGGAAGGAAGTGACTGGGTATAAAGTTCAAGGTCAATTGAGTATTTACTTTTATATTCAAATATTTTGTTTTTCTATATGAGGAAGTCCTTATAGAATAAATTCAGGGATGAGAGTAAATAGCCTTAAATTGTTTATCTCTTCAACTCTTGTATGATTATTAGGGAGGGAGGGGGAGAGAGAGCTTATAAAGGGATAGTCAAATGGAATCCCAGGCTAATTTACAAGCATGTGTAGAGACTGTTCAGTTGTATGAATAAAGATACCTACATTGGCTACAACACGTACAAGCCAGTCATTACATTGGAGAGAGAGAGAGAGATGAAGAGAGAGAAGAGAGAGCAGGAGTTGTGTTTACAGTAAATCATTCAGCACATACAATGCATGAGATCATCTGTTTTACACTGTAACACTGATACGAGCCACACTGAGCTGCGTGAGAGCTCTGTCGAGACTACAGGGTGGGGGCTGATTGTTTTACTGTAATACAGCACGTGTTATTAGAGGAAGATAGTGGTTATCTAACCTGTTAAATCGAGATTTCAGTATGTGTGATATACATCATGGCTGTGTGTTTTTATTTGGGAAACTCGAGTAACTTGATCATCAGAGTATAAAACATAGTAAACAGTGTACTTAGTTTCTGGGTAATGTACGTTATAAGACAGTTGTCATTCAGCTTAACCCCACAGCTTCATAGCCACAGTGGAAATATAGCCTTCAGTAGGAATATCCTTCAATAGGAATGGATTAGTAGGAAGTTTAACCTGTGTTAAACAATGAGTTAAGGCTGCCCATCACCTACACTTGTTGATGATGTCAGTTAAGGAGGTGTGTTACACATGTATAGCTCTCATCAGTCCTGTGTTTTACGTGTTTTGTAGACTGGTCTTCGGCCTTCTGTATCCAGCCTACGCGTCTTTCAAGGCCATCCGCACTAAGAATGTCAAAGAATATGTAAGTACCTTAATTTCTTCTTTGATTTTTTTCTTACATTTTTATTAGAACAATACATTGTTATTTTGTTTTTATGCCTGCAGTGAATTTGCATTGGACATTATAATATTTGTTATATCCACCTTCTGTCCTGTCTGTCTGTCTGTCTCTCACACTTTGTGTTTTGATTAGTTTCAAAGAAACTTCCTCAAACTTTGTACAGTAAAACTCGTTATAGTACAAAGGCAGATATTGAGAAGTCACGGATATAGTGAAGTCAGCTTGAATCCCCAGCTATATAAATTCAATGAATTTCTTATACGGTTATAACAATTTACGGATAAATATATATTAAATATTAGATTCTGTATTAGAGTATGGCTCTATGTATGCAGTATACATTATTTACATTAACTCTGCTGTTTTACAGGTAAAATGGATGATGTACTGGATAGTGTTTGCTCTTTTTAGTGCAGTAGAGACTTTCACTGATGTTCTGTTATCTTGGTAAGTGAGCTCTTTTAACCTTCACTGACGTTCTGATATCTTAGTAAGTGAGCTATTTTTAGTGCAGTAGAGACCTTTACTGATGTTCAGTTATCTTGGTAATTGATACACTAAGATACTAACTATAGTATATATTTTGTACCATTTTCAATCTCTTTTAAAAAAAACACAATTTTGATATATGCCTATAATATGGTCAGAAAAGAGTTTTATCACTAACACAATTCCATGCTTAATCATGTTAATTTTTCAAACAATTTCATTGATTATGACTTTTGCAGGCTCCCATTTTATTATGAAGTCAAGATTTTGTTTGTTGTTTGGATGTTGTTACCAGTAACCAAAGGATCCAGCTACCTCTACAAAAAGTTTGTACATCCCCACTTAGCCAAGAGAGAAAAGGTAAAACATTACAGACACCCACCCCCCGCCCTACACACACAAACGCACTTAATTATCCACTTAGCCAAGAGAGAAAAGGTAAAACATCAGTACCAGTACTCCGAGTTAATCCACCCATTCCCCAAGTCAGTGATATTTTGATGATTTTAATAATTTATAAGAATTGATTATGTAAATATAGTAGTCTTATTTAGATTCCACATCTGTCACCAAGGCTGGTCTACTGTGCATTGTATCAAACAATATGTTACACTGTATAGAAATGCTAACTATGTCTAGAAGCAACAAAACTGTGAGGTTTTATGTAACAGAAAACCCCAGAACACAATACTATGTTGACATGTATTATGCTAAGCATGAAACTTTTACCTGTGAACAAGATCAAATGAAAAACATCAACTGGGAGATTTTGAGATGACCAAAAGCATTAAAGAGAGTGTAAATTATCTAAAAAAAAAATTTATAGGAAGGTAACAAGGAGATATCTAAACAGGCAGTAAATATTTCCATTTCTTGTAAAATACTTTACTCAAGTTACTCAATTCATTTAATTTAGAATAAACATTTTATCATTATGCATGTAGTCTGGGTCAACATTAAATAGCTAAATGTACCATCCATTAACAATGAGTAAGAATACTGTAAGATAATTTGACCTTAGAAAATCAATACCTGCAAAAAAGATATTGTGCATAGGCTATAGCCTTTATTTAGATCATGATTTGAGCCATTGATATATTATAATATGTTCTAATCAGTCTTAAAATAACATATTGTTTAAAACAGTATCTAATAGTCAAAGAGGCAAATTCGGTATAGTTTTAGTATATGTGTGTACTGTTAATTAGGGAAAACAATTGAACTTGTAACTTTTAATAGGAAACCTTTGGTACCTCCAACTGATATGTTAAACATTTAAGTGAGGTGATGATTTCAATGGTGTCTCTTAATAACAAACAGTATAAACTATTATCTAACACCTTTATAATACTGTATACAGGGAAATTTTCGCCCACGTTTTATTTTCGCCCCTTTCGCCCCCTCCTTGATTGGGCGAATTTAAAACGGGGCGAATTCAAATTACACCTCATAATTTCTTAAGCAGAACTATGACTGGGCGAATTTAAAACGGGACAAAACTGTTCATAAGTTCAAAAGGGCGAAAATAACACGGGGCGAAAATAACCCTGTGTACAGTACTCTTTTTGATAAAAAAATTTTTGTAGTGTTAGGTTAAGCTGCTGTAAACCTAAAGGTTCTATTCTAAACAAATTTTCATAATTCTTAATATTTCAGGAAATTGATGACTACATAGACCAATACAGCAAAAAAGGATACACCACACTACTGAGTCTGGGTTCACGTGGACTAACGTATGCCACTAATGTAGTGGTAACAACAGCAATAAAGGTAATACCACCACCCATAATACCACCACACTGCTAAGTCTTGGTTCACGAGAACTGACGTACGCCAATAATGTAGTGGTTACCACAGCAATAAAGGTAATGTCACCACACTGCTAAGTCTTGGTTCACGAGGACTGACGTACGCCACAAATGTAGTGGTAACAACAGCAATAAAGGTAATACCACCACCCATAATCCCACCACACTGCTGAGTCTTGGTTCACGAGGACTGACGTACGCTACTAATGTAGTGGTTACCACAGCAATAAAGATAATGTCACCACACTGCTAAGTCTTGGTTCATGAGGAATAACGTATGCCACTAATGTAGTGGTAACAACAGCAATAAAGGTAATACCACCACACTGCTGAATTTGGGTCATGAGGTGTGACGCCTACCACCAATGTGTGACTCTTGTGTTTTCAGAAACAACTTATTCTTTGATTATGTACAACACTTGAAAATTTAATGAACAGAAAATTACCTGAAATCTTTGATGATTATAATATTTTTCCTTATTCCTCTTTTTACATTTACCGGGTACTATGTAATGATAGGGTTGGTTATATTATTTCTTTTATTCATTTTCACATTTTAGGGTCAGTCGTCCCTGGTGGATCATATAAAGAAGAGTTACAGTACAAACGACCTTAGAGTGGGAGAGGACACAGTGGACGGACATCATCCCAGCTTTATGTTAGATGAAGATGAATTAGGTCAGGTCACTCTTACATGATGACTTAGGTCAGGTCATTCTGACATTATGAATTAGGACAGGTCATTCTTACATGATGACTTAGGTCATTCTTACATGATGACTTAGGTCGGGTCATTCTTACATGATTTCTTAGGTCATTCTTACATGATGACTTAGGTCGGGTCATTCTTACATGATGACTTAGGTCGGGTCATTCTTACATGATGACTTAGGTCGGGTCATTCTTACATGATGACTTAGGTCATTCTTACATGATGAATTAGGTCGGGTCATTCTTACATGATGACTTAGGTCATTCTTACATGATGAATTAGGTCGGGTAATTCTTACATGATAAATTAGGTCAGGGTATTCTTACATCATTAATTAGGTCAGGTTATTCTTACATTATCAGCAATATTGTCAGGTTATTTTTTTCTGATCATGAATTAGGTCAGGTCATTCTTACATGATGAATTAGTTCAGGTTATTCTTACATGATCATCAATATAGTTATGTTTTTCTTATCTGATCATGAATCAGGTAAATCAGGTAAAGTTACTCTTACATGATCCTCATTTAGGTCAGGTTTTTCTTACATGATGGATAAAGTCCTGTTACTTTACTTTCAGATGATTATAAATTAGGTCAGGTTATTCTTACATATTTAGAATTAGGTCAGGTTACTAAAATGAATCAAATTTAGTGTGTATGGTATTTGATAGGAATTTATTTTTAAAGAAGTTAGTGTAAATTTGATTTAGCACATTTTTTATAGTCTCAATACATGTTACATAGAAGTATGTGCTGATGAAAAACAGTCAATTTGTTATGACTCTGGTGAGCATTATGACCTACAGTCCTCTTGTTTGCATTGGGTCACAGTCTTTTTGATACCCAGATAGGAACTGTCAAATATTGTACAGGTTATAGGTTTGCCAGTGTTTGTTGTATTTGTGACTGGATTTATTTAATAGAATTAATTCCATGAGGTAAAATCCAAGCTCCAATTTACCAGACACTATGCTTGATATGAATGCTTAAACGAAAATCTACACCAGTATGTAGATTGAGTTTTGAGTTTTAAATTATGCAACGATCTAAAGAATCCAGTATGACTCTGAAGTTATGAACAGTTCCTAAATTGGTTTGCAGTGGCCAAGATACACAATTACATGTACTGGATAAACAGGACCTACTTAAAAACTTGCATAGCTGTAGACATCATTAAAGATAAATAACAATACTTCTAGCAAGTTTCTAGAGAGTAAAAGTTTGATTTTATTTGGCCCCTGTGACTGATTATTTTATGTTAATCACAGACACTGAGTTAAATCCTGTAAGTGAAGCAAGTGAGACAAGCAGTCAAACAAGTGCCCAATTATCCCAGAAATCCCCTAAAGTGGCCCCAAAAGTGGGAGGGGCATCCGAGAAAGGTGTTGATTTACAAAAACCAAGAAAACAAGGTTCATCAGGGTTAAATTCTGGCAAGGGTGAGTCAACATAGAACTCCCCATAATCCCTTGCATTGATGCATGATGGGAAATCACACCCTTTCTACTTTCACTTTATTTTTGGGAACTTTCATTGGTAATTGCTGTCTGCATGCAGGGTTTGTTTTAAACTTCTTTCCACTCTATTTTAAAACTTTCTTACTAGTGTTTAATTATTATTTTGATTTTAATTACTCTTATATTGGGGGCCTGGGCTTCATTTAAGTCACCAGACCCTGCTTGGTATACATTTTTTTGTTCCAAACAGTTGCACATATGTTCATCTTAATGTCATATTTTCTCAGAAATTGCACATAAAATTAAAATTGTTGCCAATAATAATAGCAATTATTGCACTGTCATTTTTACTTAAATCAGGTAAAATTTTGACTCGCGAATAATTTATGGCCATGTTGCTCATGTCTTACAGTAGTAACAAATAAATTATTTACAGTACTTGACTCAAAATCTTTATTATAAGAACAGGATTTTGCGAGAAAATGTTTGTGCACTTTAACTTTGATATAAACCCTCATCATTGTAAACTAGTATTATATTTGCAAACAAGTTCATCATTATAACATTAAAATTCACGAGATGCAGACTTTAAAGAAAATTGGACAAATCCCTGAAACATCAAGCTATCTGTCAGTAGCCTACCTTGGTTTAGAAATTGATCCTACTCAGAGCATACTCTTATATCCAATTATTTGGGGGACATAAACACCATATGCAGGTGATATTGGAATATAATACCACGTAAGTGAGGGAAGTTGAGGATGGAATATTTGAAGTACTATCTTGTTTGTCATACAAATTAGGTTGTTAGTTAACTATTATCATTTGTAGTCATTAAAACAGTATTTTATATTTCCTAGCTATTCACATCTGATAACTACAAAACAGGGTGTAGAGAATAAGAAGATGTTTACTTTTATGATTAAACAGATGAGAGAATAGCCCAAGATAACCGTGAAATAGAGAGGAGGAAACCTCTACGACGTAGCACCAGTGATGTCACGGAGGTAGTACGACCTCCTACATCCAGATACAGAAACCCAGCCACAGGTATGTCAAATATATATAGGTCACAGGTACATATAAATATAGGTCACAGGTACGTATAAATAAACCCAGCCACAGGTACGTCAAATAAATAAAAATAGATTAAAACAATAAAGTAATTTAACATATTTCATGAATGTGGCATTTCAAAATGCTATAAGACTGGAATATGAGTTTTTATGTGTGGTTATTTTCCTACTACCTCAGCTCTAAGTGGCTTGTTTTGCCTGTACATGTATTTATTTACATTTCAGAGCTTTCAAAAGTAGTAGAAGTGGAAGAAGAATACTCATATCACGAGGAATCGGTACATGTACGGCCAGGGTACTACAGTCCTAGACAGGTGGGTTATCTCCCTTAGTAATCACCATATCTTCCTTAATACTGATATCACGAGGAATCTGTACATGTACGGCAGGGCTACTACAGTCCTAGATAGGTCCGTTATCTCCCTTAGTAATCACCATATCTTCCTTAATACTCATATCACGAGGAATCTGTACATGTACGGCAGAGCTACTACAGTCCTAGACAGGTGGGTTGTCTCCCTTAGTAATTACCATATCTTCCTTAATACTCATATCACGAGGAATCTGTACATGTACAACCAGGCTACTACAGTCCTAGACAGGTGGGTTATCTCCCTTAGTAATCACCATATCTTCCTTAATACTCATATCACGAGGAATCTGTACATGTACGGCCAGGGTACTACAGTCCTAGACAGGTGGGTTATCTCCCTTAGTAATCACCATATCTTCCTTAATACTCATATCACGAGGAATCCGTACATGTACGGCAGGGCTACTGCAGTCCTAGATAGGTCGGTTATCTCCCTTAGTAATCACCATATCTTCCTTAGTACTCATATCACGAGGAATCTGTACATGTACGGCAGGGCTACTACAGTCCTAGATAGGTCGGTTATCTCCCTTAGTAATCACCATATCTTCCTTAATACTCATATCACGAAGAATCTGTACATGTACAACCAGGCTACTACAGTCCTAGATAAGTCAGTATCTTCCTTAATACTCATATCACGAAGAATCTGTACATGTACAACCAGGCTACTACAGTCCTAGACAGGTGGGTTGTCTCCCTTAGTAATCACCATATCTTCCTTAATACTCATATCACGAGGAATCTGTACATGTACGGCCAGGGTACTACAGTCCTAGACAGGTGGGTTATCTCCCTTAGTAATCACCATATCTTCCTTAATACTCATATCACGAGGAATCTGTACATGTACGGCCAGGGTACTACAGTCCTAGACAGGTGGGTTATCTCCCTTAGTAATCACCATATCTTCCTTAATACTCATGTCACGAGGAATCCGTACATGTATGGCAGGGCTACTGCAGTCCTAGATAGGTCGGTTATCTCCCTTAGTAATCACCATATCTTCCTTAGTACTCATATCACGAGGAATCTGTACATGTACGGCCGGGCTACTACAGTTCTAGACAGGTGGGTTATCTCCCTTAGTAATCACCACATCTTCTTAACAGTCATAAGATATCACTACCATAAGTCCTCAACAGCTATCTCCAATACTAGCTCCTCAATAGATATCACCATCAGAATATCAACAGATATACCCATTACAGCTCCTCAATAAGAAACTCAGTGAACATTGTAAATTCCTTATTTTTCTCCAGTACTAAGCTATTTATTATCGCCAAATACTCCTTAATGTCAATTCGCAAGAATAATTATTCCTGAATGAACTGTTGATTAAGAGAATTTATATGGATTTTAGCACCATGAAAATAAAAGCAAGTTAAATTTTATTTCACAAGTGATGCTTCTCACAAAATTACGTGTTAATTCCTTGTGTATATTTAGGAATTTACAGTAGTCCAAAGTAGATATATCCCTTAATAGTCTACAACAGATATTTCTCCTAATAGTCTTAAAATGTCAGGTATCCTGCCTAACTATCAGCCATCCCTATAAATATACTGCCGAGTTATCTAAAGGCCAGTACTCCCTCTAAATGTTTCCCAGAAATAACTAAAAGCCATCCTTGTGTTTCCTTCCAAATGTCCCCCAAGAGTTGAATTTAGTTATCAGCCTCTCCTTTTTTATGTGATCCAGGGTTTAAACAGTGTATAGGATTAGTCTAGAGACAATTTCAAAAGGGTTAATCATGAAGAGCAGGATTCTTCTAGAATTCATTTGATAATGTTTGAACATTAGTAATTTGCTGCTTGTAGTTATATTTCTTTTTAAAAAAATGCCGAAAGATGGAAAAGATTTATTGAAATGTTTATCAACATTTTATTTTATGGTTTGAAAATCACTTATAAAGAATTCAAAATATTTCTAAAGAGCTAATAAATAGAATTTCCATTGCAATATAGGAGGCATATAAATTTATATAATTTGCCTATTTCAGCATTGATGACAATTATCAGATAATATTATTTATTTTAGGAGATGTATTTCTATGGTAAAGGTTTATAACTAACCAATAACACATCTAATTCCACTCATCTTTTTCTGTGGACTTTATTTTTTCAGACTTTAATCACTTTGCTCTCTTTGCCAAATTGAAAGTGAAAGTAGTGCCTTTTAAATCTCACTTTTTTTCCTGTGATCTTCCGTTGATCAGCTTTGCCTATCTGACATTGTGTGACTTATGATGATTTTGTTTCAGAATGGGGAAACATTAATAAATATGAGTGAGAACCAGTGCTTTAATTGTTTGGATTTAGAGGGGACACAGACACGCATTTTCATCTGAATGTTTCATCATTCTGCTTGTGTTTCGGAATGTTTCTGTCTGCCTATCAGAGCTTACATAGATCATGTCATTCACGAGAAGTTCATTATCATTAATGTTCAAGAGAAATTCTCATTTTTGTATTTGTCAATTGATCTTGATCTTGTTCATGGAAATTTGGTAGTTGTGATAAAGAATAAAAAAATTAATTTACCAAAAACAGCAAGAAAATATTCAAAGGTAATTTACAAGTGCATGTATAATGAGGATAAGACTTTGACAAGACACTGCAAGTAACTGAAGATCTTCACAATAATGTAATTATTAAGACATTGAATCAGTACAGATGAATCATCTGATCAGTTATATGCCAAGTTTCCTGCATTGTCTTTACTGAAAATATGATTTTTATTTCATTTCTTCTTGATGCCAAATAAATGGAGTTTGAGACTTTTTTTGAAAATAATCAATTTAATGAAAACTTATGTCTTATTTTGTTGCCAGTCTTTTTGACTGGTGATGGTTGTTTTTATCAGTTGAGAAATTTTTGTTTCTGATTATCAGTTTCACAGAATGGCCTTTACAGAATGTCTTTATGATAAATGCTTCACTTTTGTTATCTTTTACTATTTTATACTTTTTACTGATAAGTTATTTTTCTGTAACTTCAGGTAAAACTCGACCCGTACGGTACGTTACCAAGAACCCGCGCCCGTACCCGCAGTAAGCTGCCCAAGTGAAGGATCTCAATGTTGTCATGACAGCACGGTGCCAGATGGTTCAAGGTCATCTCCATAGCAACAGCTTATTTGCAATAGGCAATAGACTCTGCTTCACAAATCTTAGATCCATTTCACACGTTGAAAATCTTAGGTCACTTTCACATGTGAAAATCTTACGTCACTTTCACATGTGAAAATCTTAAGTCACTTTCACATGTTGAAGAATGATGTACATTTATACACTAGCTTCACTTGCTTAATAACAATGTCATATGAACTTGGAGGCAGATGTGCCATATGTCAGATGGTTTATTTTTTTGTTTACTTTAACTGATGGTTGAAATCAACAGTATCACTGGATTCAGTCTATTGAAGCAATGTAGCTTTAAAACGAATTTATTTGGGGATATCAATGCTTTCGGTGAACCAATGCTTTCATGTTTATTTTCTGTATAACACTGGTTTTGAGGTTTAGGGGCTTCTTAAACACAATTTGAGCTTTAATTTAGAGAATGATAATCAATGTTGAGAGGTCAAAGTTTAACTTTAAGATCATGCCATATAAACCCTAGGGTGCTTTATACTATATTTCAGACCTCCAGTTTCACAGTACAGGAGTATAACTTCTCAGATTTTTGTATTTTCATGCTCTTTCTATTGCTTTTGATTTTAATACATAAAGAAATCTATTTAAGATAATTTATGAAATACACAGATAGGCCCTATCAGTTAAACTGCCTGCTGTTTTTGTTTTGTCTTGTACATTTTTACCTCTGTTTGATTTCGATGTGTTAACAGGTTCTATTTAAATGTACATAATTAAATAGTACATAATGATGATACTTGTATTTGAAACAGAATTCTATATAAATATGAAATCACTAAGTCATTTTTGTGTATGTTAATTAAGATGAACAAGAGTTCTATGAGCCCTGTATATAATATGGGTCATGTGACACTAAATGTGAGTAAATTTTTAACCTGATTTGTGTGGATTTGTGAACACTCAGGGCTGGGACATATAAGAAGTGTTTTGTGATGAGAATGCCAGTATCTACTGAGATATGTGTACATGTTGTAATCAATTATCCAATCAATCATTTGTATTTTTCGGTTGTTTTCTATACAGCTTTTTTGGTTTTGTGAATTTTTATTTTTGCTCTTTATCTCTGAATGCTCAATTATTTCTTTTGTTTTTTTTTCTATCACACAAAACATTCCATGCCTGCTTGTTTTGTATTTTTTGTAACCTGACTTTTCTAATTTATTCTTCAAACAATTTACCAAAACAGTTGCCATAATTGTATATTGTTCACCAGATTAAGTGTTGTCAGTGTAAGGTATTGCAATACCAGTGTATCATTGTGGATTCATGGTAGACTTAAAAAACCTCATGTTTTCATTTATTTATGTACAAATAATTTAAATTACAGAAAAAAATGTCCTAAATAAGAATAATCTGACAAAATAAATAAGTTTGTTTCTTAGCAGTCATTAAAAGTGAAAAGCGAATGAACTGTAGAGCAAATTTAGTACTTCATTTTGATAAGGTGGACAAAGATTATCTTGATAATAAGATAAATTATAGAATATGAGAATCATTTGTTTTGAGATTATACCTCATGTTCAGTGGTGCTGTGTCACTTGTTAACTTGTACCACGATTAGCTTGTCGTTTTCCTCTGTTTTAACCTTTCTGTTTAGATAGTTTGTACTGAGTTGGGACTACCTGATGTGTTCTATTTGTCAGAGAGGTTGACTTTCGCTGAGGAAGATGAACATGTTAAGCTTTCTGGAAGTCGTATATATGTTTGGTCAAGGTCGACATCATGATTTGTTAATCTGTGATAATCTTATTGTGCATACATATATTTTTGAAGACTTAGAGAGCCACAACGAATCAGTCAACTAAAGATGGTTAGTATTAAGAATGTTTAATGTCTACTCATAATTAGTTAATATGTATACACGTTTTTAAAGACTGTATACCTATGATTTATTAAATATGCATTTATTATTAAGACTGTTTAATGACACCCATAATTAATTTAATACAGTCAAACTTCGTTCTCTCGAACCTGATCGGATATAGAAGGTAAAATACTTAAAGAATATGTGGTTGGGACTTCAAATCACTTCGACATATCCATGGTATTAGAGATATCACAGTTCGAGATACTGAAGTTCAACTGCATAAACACCTGTCATATCTGCTTTATTCACTGATAGTTCAGGAGTTTGACCCTGAATCGGATACTACCTATAAAAAGCATTTGTAAAAAGACTTCTAGCATCAGCATTGCATCATTAAACTAGCATTGCTTTAGAGAAGATTAAAATAGAAAATGTAGATACAGCATTTATTCATTTTACTACATGTACTTGAAATGTGTTATATCTTACATTGTAAAATATGCTCTGTCTAAATTTTAAAATGTATGACTGTGTACCTTACTTTTGATATCATTTTTTGCTACTTAATTACATGAACTTTTTCCGAGAAAATCAGAAATATGAGAACATTACTTCTGCTTCTAAAGCTACTCTCAGACTGATAGAATTGTTAATATTTGTACAGATGACACAATAATGTGGTGTCTTTGTTGTCGAGTATTTATTGAATATAGCTCTGATAAATACCTAGTTGTAGATCTGTGTATTTAGTGGGGATGGTTGGCATGTCATATTGGTCTTGTTTCAGAAAGTAATTGTATAAAGTTGACCTGCAGTTAACAATAAAATTCGTCATTTTCACTGTGTTGTTCGTGTTTCTCTAAGCATATAACAATTAAACTGTATTATCTGAGCATTGATCTAATAATAAAGAAAAGAAAGCTTAAATGAGATAGCTATCTTGATTGCATATTAATAGCTCACCTCAACAAATTTGAGACTGATGAGCTTTACCTATATCGCTGGCATAAGCATTATCATGAGCATTCCGATCAATGGTTTAGGAGCAAGTCTATTCCTCAGTAATATTATGTCCTACCTGAACAAACTTGCTGAGATGATGCATCTAGGGATGGACAAGACAAGACTTGCCTTGAATGCACAATCTGACCTACATTTTCTAAATGAGTGACCAGATTGAAAGATTTTGGGGTAGATCCAAACCCAAGTAGTACAAGTATACCATATTATCCCTACTTGGAACATTTACTTGCATAAATCTAGGGATGGATTCAGACTTCCTTTGGATTCTGGATTCATGTTTATTTGGAGCAGGGCCATTTCCATTAATTCTGAGCGCTACTTAAATGAAACTTGGCATGCATGGATATTGATCTCAGGATGGACACTTAATAGAAAAAACAAGATGTGTTTGTGAAACTAATGCCCCCATATGGCAGCTTAAAGTTAATCAAATGCAAGTAAAAGTCCAAGGTCAAAAGGTCGACATTGTTGGTATCAAGATGATGGTCTTTTCACAAGGAATACTTGTGACATATGAAAGTCCTGGTACTAGATAAAAGTTTTGCCCAAAGTTGTATTTTTTACAAAGTGGTTTCAAATCTTAGGTCAAGGTCAAAAGATCAAACGTTAAAGAAATTGAAAGGTTTTGTAACAATGAATATACATGTGAAATATAAAAAGCTCTATCTCCAACTGTTCAAAAGTTATGACCAAGATTAAAGTTTAGTATCTTTTAGCTAAACTGGGTCAAACTGCAGTCAAATTAGGTGTATACAGGGAAAGATCTTGTCACAAGGAGTACACCTGTGAAATATGAAAGTCACAACCTACCCAGTCAAAAGTCATGGGCAAAGTTAAAGTTTTTGCTGAGAAACAGATAAAAAGACAGACTGACAGGATGAAAACTATATACCCCTGAATCTTTGATTATGGGGGCAACGCACTTTGAAAAAGTTACGCACTTTGAAAAATTTTTCAAAGTGTGTTAAATTTGGGACCACCACAACGCACTTTGAAAAATTTTTTCAAAGTGCGTTAAGAGTCTACATCAGTATATTTTACCATGAACACACTTAACTCGCTTTGAAAAAAAAATCATATTTTAGTAATGGAAAGATTTTATTTGTTATTTATCTTTCAATAAACTAACCCTAACCCTAACCTCAAAAAACAGAATTGATTTACTCCCGTCGAAAAGAGGAGAAGACGGGTATAAGATCCCTCAGTCCAAATCTTTATCTTTCCAATACACAGGTGTCGGTAACAAACGGGGGAGGGGAACAAATAACCCCAAAAGGGTAAGCTGCATTTTCAATGCTTATACAATGTGTATATCTTTCCAAAACTAGAGGTACTGTGAGCAATGAGCTCACTAAATGATACCCCCCGCCTCCCATATGAATATAATGGCAGTGTTCATGTTTTGCTCTGGAAAATCCAAAATATATGTCAGATCAAAAAGTAAAACAGGAGGTGCACGATGGCAATATGTAATAAAGATTCTGTGAAAGTTTCATTAAATTTCCTTCAGTGGTATGAGAGGAGTTGCGGATAAGAGATGGGTACCCCAAAGCGTAACAGACGGACGGAAATACCGATTACTATATACCTCCCGCTTTTCAAGCGGGGGGTATAATAAGTGGGGTGCTTAGCCCCCCCCTCCCCTGTCACTTCGCCCGGTCTCGATTTCTATGCTATACTGAAAACATTCATATAATTATGTATTTACCTAACTGGTATGACGTTGAAAACTTTCAATATTAAATGAGTTAATTAAAACAGATGAAAACTAAAAATTTTTAAGTATAGTAAAATGTATGAAAGAGAAAGAATTTTCATAGTTTTGAACAATCAAATTGCCCCTTTTTTATTATGATAAATGCTAAGTTGCTTAAAGCTCTCCACTGTTAGTGCCCCCTTTACACCTTTACATCTACTTATCAATGACTCGAATTAATAAACTACTTATCAATGACTCGAATTAATAAAAAAAAGAAACGAATTAATGATCTTAAACAATCGTCACTCTTTTTTTCAAGACCCCTTTCCCTTTTATCTTATCAAAACCTCAAAAACTTAAAATGTCAATATCTCAGGTCCTGAAGTGACTTTATCATAAAAAAAGGTATCCAACCAGAATCTGTTATTCATCTTACCGATTATTTGTAGGAATATTGATCAATCTATACATTTTTTTCAAAGTGCGTTAATATGGTCGATATTAACGCACTTTGAAAAAAAAATTATTTTTTCAAAGTGCGTTAGCTTGGTCCCAAATTTAACGCACTTTGAAAATGTTTTTCAAAGTGCGTAATTTTTCAAAGTGCGTTGTAACAGGGCATAAATAAAGATAATAGATTTGTACAGTATGTACAGTTAGTAAATTCAGCCGAATTTGAATGGTGTAAAGTGATACTTGTAGGAGCATCCAACCCATGATGCAGGGCTATCCAGTTAGATTCTGCCATACAGGAGCATCTGACCAGTGATGCAGGGCTATCGAGTTAGATTCTGCCATACAGGAGCATCTGACCAGTGATGCAGGGCTATCGAGTTAGATTCTGCCATACAGGAGCATCTGACCAGTGATGCAGGGCTATCGAGTTAGATTCTGCCATACAGGGGCATCTGACCAGTGATGCAGGGCTATCGAGTTAGATTCTGCCATACAGGGGCATCTGACCAGTGATGCAGGGCTATCAGGTTAGAATCTGCCATACATGTTCTCTTTTCCTGTTACATATTTTGGGGCCACTGACCACCCTTGACTTAAGGAGAAACTCCTGCCAGGGGCAATAAGAACTTGGGTTGTGTCTTTGATGGCTAAGACAATTTAAGGAGGGAGGATTGTAATGGTTTGGGCCATGGATATCAGCCTGGATAGCTTGGTAGAGCACCTGACTGATGATACAGGTTTCCCAAGTTTGATTCCTTGTCCAGTCGTACATTTTTTCCTACATAGGACATTTCACCATTTATAATGCATTAAATACAGAGTTCCCTTATCACTGATTTATTACTGTAAACCAACTATTATTTGCGTCAATCTTTTATACATGAATCGTCAGTTTGAAATCAATGCACAGCGAAACAATTAGGAATTAGGAAACATTTTTTACAAAAAGCATAATAAATGGTTCACAGTGATTAATATTCGCGACTTAAAGTAGGTTGCAAAACTCATGAATATTTCTCGCACACGAATAAATGTTGGTTTACAGCATCCCATCACCTTCCCAGAGATTTAATAACTACAATGTAACACACATTAAAACTCAATATGATAAAGAACATCCTTACGAAAATCATATTTATTATTTCCTAAAGATATGAAATAACAAAGTGTAGAAGTTTTCAGTCAACAGGAAAAAGAAACTCAGATATACATGAGATCAAACGCTGATTATACATGGCAAGTAAAAATGTCATACATATCAAATATATAAAACCAGTTCACATATTTCGTCAAGAAAGGTAAACATCAAGATCAATAAGTACATAATATCACACAGAATTGGCCCTTGTATATGGCTTCAGAAATGATTACAATGTAAAAAGAAATGCTATAATATTCTAAAATATGAATAATTATCACAAAGATGAAGGAATGTCAAACAATTTACATAAACAGTAAATGAGATTTAAACAACATTATAAAAAATTCTGCATTTCATAAAACTTTAAAAATCTTAAGGTATGGCAAATATCACTGAATACAATACTCAGTACATGTACATAAATTAACTAGAACTGTCCAAACGGGACAAAATACCCCCCGCTGGGTTTTTCAGAGTGCTAAATCATGAATATTTTATGGATCTAAGAGAAGAGAGAAATGCTAAAACATTTTTAGTGCGAATGTAATTGCTCATTATATTTTTTTTTATAAATGAAACGAAGGCGCAGCCTAATTAAAAAAAAAATAGACTAAATATGGACCAGACAAAAATTATGAACTTTTTCTGTCAGTGACCGTGAACTTGCATAAATGACCTTGGTTCAAAGTCATGACACAACCTCAGGTCATAAGCAATGTTTGTGTGAAGTAGTAGATTCAAGTTTTTCCATAATAAAGAAAGATATGGACCGGACACAAATTATAAAATTTTTCTTCCAGTGACCTTGAACTTCCCCAAATGACCTTTATTTCAAGGTCATGACACACCCTTAGGTCATTAGCAATCTTTGTGTGAAATGAGAACTTACCAAGTTTATCCATAAGAAAGATATGGACCAGACACGAATTATTAAATTTTTCTTCCATTGACCTTGAACTTCCCAAAAATGACACACCCATAGGTCAGGAGGAATCTTTGTGTGAAATGAAAACCTACCAAGTTTATCCATAAGAAAGTTATGGAAAGAACAGGAATTATGAAATTTTTCTTCCAGTAGCCTTGAACTTCACCAAATGACCTTGGGTCAAGGTCATGACACACCCTTAGGTCATGTGCAATCTTTGTGTGAAATTAGAACCTACCAAGTTTATCCATGAGAAAGATATGGACCGGACACAAATTATGAATTTTTTCTTCCAGTGACCTTGAACTTCCTCAAATGACCTTGGGTCAAGGTCATGACACACCCTCAGGTCATGGACAATCTTTGTGTGGAGTAGTAGATTTTAATGTTCCTCCGTAAAAAAGATATGGACCGGACACATTTGCACAGACAGACGGACAAGGTGATTCCTATATATCCCCCCAAACTTCGTTTGTGGGGGGGTATAAAAACATAACAGTGGTTGTAAGTAATGAATATTGCTAATGCTTTACAATTCAGCTAATTATGTCTCAATACGGACAATTAAATCAGCCCTATAGTACCGTGTATTAGCTTAAGTTTACAATGTTACACATTTATCATTCTACTTAGTGGACAAGATTACAGAATTAGTATATATATAGGTTTACCCTGTATTGTTTTATAACGAAAGTTGTAAGACATGAATGAAATATCATTCATTTTGACATATTTATAATCTTATACTCCTTACATGACAATATTATAATATTAATAATTCTTTATATATATTAACATTTTTAATAGTAGTAAACTTTTAAATGTTTAGAAATTGTTAAGTATATTTCCAATGTTTAAGCATGACAAAAAAGTCCTTCACTATGACAAAATCAACTGCCAAATAAACAACACCTTTCAAAGTGATGATATAAAAATGGCTTCATGTCTACCCAATTAAAATCTAAGGCATGGTAATTACTCAATAAGTAGGTGTAATAATGTTTCAGTGACTACGCATCCTCAGTCTAAAGTATGGGAACCAATCAATATGATCAACTAATCAACATGAAATATGTTCAGCAATATCATGGTTACAAAAATACATTCTCTATAAATTAATCCATACATTTTAGAAAGAACAAACTTAATTATCAAAATCCACCTGAGATGACCTACGACCCTGTTTTTCCTGTAAATTTGACCTTGACCTCTGACTTTGGTCGAGTGACAGGCAGCCATTTATGACTAAGGTCTTGACCTTCTTTGACCGTTATGTGGTATTTCTGAGTCAGCTCCTGTACTATTGTCTGAAAAAGAAGATTTCAGGTGATAAAATATATATATAGCTAACTGATGTATATCATTATACTTATGAAAACTGCTAGAGAAAAATCATTTCATAAATAAAATGAATAGAAATGAGCAACAATGTTAAAGAATCGGAGATGAAGCACTTATAAATTACAAGACATTCTCATTTGAAGTGGAATATATTGTTTTATATATTACAAATGAATAAAGAGATGTTCCGGTGTTGATATTGTTTTATGTTTAATAATTCCTAGATCAGTACAGATGTTCAGGTGTATATGTTGTTTTATGTATAATAATTCCAAGATCAGTCACCTTGAGGATATTCCCGACCAGCTTCTGTCCTATACACCCCCGCGGTCCCGCTCCAAAACAAAAAATACGATCCTTGTCTTCAGCATTCCTGTAAGAGATATATATTGATTTAATGTGTCTTAATGTCCACTGTATTAATTACTGTAGGTGATAGATTTACCTTACAACACTAAGGGATCACATACTGTCTCTGACAAAACTTAACAATTATTTTATATTACATACAGTCCAGAATGACATTTGACTCGTTAGCAGGGGATGCTTACTCCTTCATGACATCTGATCCCTCCTCTGGTTTTAGAGGTCAATATTGGTTTTGCTCTCTTTCTTTTATCATGTAGTTTATTTGTATGACTTTTAAGAACTTTTCAAATTTCATATATTATAAATCATGTAATGCTTTACTTAATTATACAGTTTTACATCTGTCTGGAACAAACTAATGAGGGAGCTAGAAGTTTTGTTGGTTACAGAATCTTTACTTACAATCTTCCATCTCTCAGGATTACATAGACCAAGTACTGGCAGATTCAGGTTTATTAGTAAATTTTTACTCAGTATTAATTTGTGTCTGTCTCTCCGTCTGCCTTGGAGATAAGATTCTGGGTTAACTTAAATCTTTACTTACGCTGTCTTCCATCTCTCTGGGTCAAACTGATCTGAGAACTGGAAGATCCTAGGATCTCTGTGACTGTGGTAAGACATGTAAACTAGAGCATGTCCCTTTGGAATGTGGTAACCATTCAAGTTGAAATCCTACAAATATGATCATATTTCTAGATTATAAAACATCAGGTATTCTACCTACTATTTCAAGTTGCATCTATAAAGTGTTGTTATCAATGCAGTGCTCTGCTTCATGGTTTAGTGTGAATCAAGGATGGTTATATCTATAGTATCAAAGTTAACTTAGGTTTACATATCTTTGTCTCACTTTATTTTTTAAATAACCTAACAGATTTAAGGTATGTTGAAATATTTAAGGAACCTTAAGTATCAGAGTAAGTTTTCCAGTGTTCAAGGAGTTTTACTCTAAGAAGCATCATAATCTAGTATTTGGCCCAAATTTCAATGATTTTTAACATGCTGAAGGATTTTTACAGAAGATGACAATTACTTGTTTGGCGACCCGCCGACCTCCGATGAATGGTGGAAACAATCTCTGGACCTCTAACAACATGGCCTCCAGTGTCTCTACATCCTCAGCTAGGTCTGTCTGTTTGTCTGTCTGTATTAAAAATAAATATAAATATAAACAATCTCTGGACCTCTAACAACATGGATTCCAGTGTCTCTACATCCTCAGCTAGGTCTGTCTGTTTGTCTGTCTGTATTAAATAGAAACTGACATTTAAACTGTTCTATAGACTATAATTCCAAATTTTCTTTAATAAATTCAATAATTTTCATTTTTAAAAATAAACTTTTACCATTTGCTTTAATCATGTGATACTTACAACTATTTTGTATCTCATCAAATTGAAATGCCATGCATGTTTAATATTTTTCTATCTCCGAGCATGACAAAAAAATACAAAGCAGAATATGTCTGCAGAGTAAGTGATAATTTCTTAGATTATTATCCTCTTATAAAAACTAAAACAGAAATATACTCAATCTTAACAAATCAATCAAGATGTGATGGTCAAGATGTGATGGAACATTTTGTTATGACTGTGTACCCTCTACTATACATGCTGAATTCAGTTTTCACTTATATCCATTTCATACAAATCATACAAATCCTTATCTGAAGAATTCCTATGAAGGCATTGAGGACTTACTATCTGAGATTTTTATCTGAGAGTTCTTTATAAACTTAACCTAAAGACTTCCTATCTGGACTTTACCTGAATGTTTCCTATCTGGATTTTACCTGAAGGTTTCTTTCTGGACTTTACCTGAAGGTTTTCTATCTGGACTTTACCTTAAGGCTTCCTATCTGGACTTTATCTGAAGGTTTCCTATCTGGACTTTACCTGAAGGCTTATCTGGACTTTACTTGAAGGTTTCCTATCTGGACTTTACCTGAAGGTTTTCTATCTGGACTTTATCTGAAGGTTTCCTATCTGGACTTTACTTGAAGGTTTCCTATCGGACTTTACCTGAATGTTTTCTATCTGGACTTTACCTGAAGGCTTCCTATCTGGACTTTACCTGAAGGCTTCCTATCTGGAATTTACCTGAAGGCTTCCTATCTGGACTTTACTTGAAGGTTTCCTATCTGGACTTTACTTGAAGGTTTCCTATCTGGACTTTACCTGAAGGCTTCCTATCTGGACTTTATCTGAAGGTTTCCTATCTGGACTTTACCTGAAGGTTTCCTATCTGGACTTTACCTGGAGGCTTCCTATCTGGACTTTACCTTAAGACTTCCTATCTGGACTTTACCTTAAGGCTTCCTATCTGGACTTTACCTTAAGGCTTCCTATCTGGACTTTACCTTCAGGCTTCCTATCTGGACTTTACCTTAAGGCTTCCTATCTGGACTTTACCTTAAGGCTTCCTATCTGGACTTTACCTGCAGGCTTCCTATCTGGACTTTACCTGAAGGTTTCCTATCTGGACTTTACTTGAAGGTTTCCTATCTGGACTTTACCTGAAGGTTTCCTATCTGGACTTTACCTGAAGGTTTCCTTTCTGGACTTTACTTGAAGGTTTCCTATCTGGACTTTACTTGAAGGTTTCCTATCTGGACTTTACCTGAAGGTTTCCTATCTGGACTTTACTTGAAGGTTTCCTATCTGGACTTTACCTGAAGGTTTCCTATCTGGACTTTACTTGAAGGTTTCCTATCTGGACTTTACTTGAAGGTTTCCTATCTGGACTTTACCTGAAGGTTTCCTATCTGGACTTTACTTGAAGGTTTCCTATCTGGACTTTACCTGAAGGTTTCCTATCTGGACTTTACCTGAAGGTTTCCTTTCTGGACTTTACTTGAAGGTTTCCTATCTGGACTTTACTTGAAGGTTTCCTATCTGGACTTTACTTGAAGGTTTCCTATCTGGACTTTACTTGAAGGTTTCCTATCTGGACTTTACTTGAAGGTTTCCTATCTGGACTTTACCTGAAGGCTTCCTATCTGGACTTTACCTGGAGGCTTCCTATCTGGACTTTACCTTAAGACTTCCTATCTGGACTTTACCTTAAGGCTTCCTATCTGGACTTTACCTTAAGGCTTCCTATCTGGACTTTACCTTCAGGCTTCCTATCTGGACTTTACCTTAAGGCTTCCTATCTGGACTTTACCTGAAGGCTTCCTATCTGGACTTTACCTGCAGGCTTCCTATCTGGACTTTACCTTAAGGCTTCCTATCTGGACTTTACCTTCAGGCTTCCTATCTGGACTTTACCTTAAGGCTTCCTATCTGGACTTTACCTGCAGGCTTCCTATCTGGATGAACAGTGAGGTCAATATTGATGACAGTGCCTTGGGAACCAGAGCTGAACTAAATAGGAGGAGATGATTGTCAACGAATTCTTCCTGACATGCGTGCGGACATCGCTGGATTCTATCAGGAAAGTGAGACGTTTCACAGCTGCATTTCTTCTGTTTTATTATGTTCAACAGGTGATCCTACAATACAAATATTCCAAGTCAGCTGTTTTAAATTTTAATTTAAAGATAGGAGAAAATGAGGAAAAGAAAGTTTATTTTTAAATTTTAAAAATGTCCACTTTTTGCAGAAAGGATGGTAAAAGTGTCAAAATGAAATACTGCACTTTACAAATCAAGAGAATAGATAGGGTTTTCTCACCTTGGCCTCGAGAGCCTTACAGAAGCTGGATCCACCTGTCAGAGGGAGTTTGATTGACACAGGAACAGAGATGATACCTGTTACAGGATATGGTAGTCACAATAAATGACAAAATTTTAATTTATTGTGATATTGAACTTGTTCTCATAATGAATTTTATTCCTAATAATCTATGTAATATTATCTGCGATATTATAACATCACCAATTATATTTTAGATGTCCCCACTGATTTTGTTTTTTGATAGAATTTTCTAGAGGAAAGAGAGAGTGACAGACAGACAGAGGGAAACACAGAGTAAAACTTACCATGCCAGTGAGTAGTTGTCAGACCAACAATCTGGTTTGTAGTCTCTTCTGCATCTTTAAAGTCCATCCCTAAAAACAGACTGAGGCAGATCTCTGTACATAGGGACTTCATGAAGGAGTAAAGGGAAACCTCACACCTATAATAAATGTCTAACATTTAATCAAAGTACTAAAAGTACTGGAAGTCACATTCTCACATTTAATCAAAGTACTCAAAGTACTAAAATCCTAAAAGTCATAGTCTTACATTTAATCAATATACTTAAAATAATTGGAAGACTTCCTCTCACATTTGTTATCACATACTCATAGTACTGAAAGCAATAGTTACTGACAATAAAGTTAAGTCTACCATCTTTTAATTCAAATTTTTGTTGATATCTGCTGTGTATGATTTAAATTGAATTATAAGATTTTAAAGTTCCCTAAAAATTTTAGGCATATGAAGACACCCAGAATCCAAGTAAAGAAAAAATGTTCACCAGATATCTCCCGATGTTTATATGTTACAAGACCTGTATTATCTTATTGGTTTGTAAAGAAAAATGACTGACAAACAACTTACCGACATTTCAGCTCGTGGACTCTGTCTTCAACAATTCTGAAAGAGGAAAAAGAGCATAATGTATAAGACATGGTAAGATTGAGATTTGCATAATATTGCAAAGAGATGGTTTGTGATCTCAGGCTACTGTGTGAATCTGATGAATTTCTTACAATGTGATTTTATTGTGAGGCAGTAATTTGCAGAAAAGATGAAATAATAATAATCAGAATACCATGACACCAAATTAATATGATAAAAACAGCACATTTTAGGCTTCCATTGTCTTATTTAAAAAAACACAGCTCATACATGTATGTGTGTTCAAAGTTAGATTCAAGTATTGTACCTTCAAATTGCCCTTGTAAACTCTTTAATTGTCATTCTGGGAAAAGTTGAATAACCAACATTCATTTAAAAAATCCTCAAATTTTGCTTTTCTAGCATTTTGTCATCAGTTTAACTCTGCTTTTGAATAAACAGTTAAACAGAACAAACATGACTACGTAGGCTATTTATGAAAGTACATTAGCTTTGTCATAGCTATCTTTTGAGTGTTGATATTGCGGTTATCTTAGTAACAGTCGGTAGTCACATAGTCCCGAATTTCCTCGATCACATGGAGAACTCTGCTTACCAATACAGCGCGAGACTGAACATGCTGAAGTGTGGGTGTGTTTCTAGGTGCAGCTTACAAATGTTTAAATGGAATGTCTATTTTTGAAACCAAAAATGTTTTTTGTCGAAACTACATGACAAGATACTCTGCACTCACAGTTAGTAGGCCTACACAGTTTTGTAAAAACAATAACCTGGTTCCCTGAACCAGTTTATGAATGCATTTGGCACGAACTAATAAAATAGTCGTACAGTTTCACTTTCATTTGCAAGTGTGTTTTGTTTCTATGTTTGTTTGTTTGTTTTTTTGCGATTAAGTTACGTGGACTTTATTTTTTAATTAATATTTTGCTATGGACATTGGGAAATTTACACCTTTCTTTTGGGAAAAAAGGTACCTTTTTTGCATTGGGAACGGGGCCTATTCGGCCCCAGATTTAGAGAATCGAGAGCCCTGACTAGTAACCCTGTTAAAGCTGTCCATACAGTGAATTTTATCCTCCCAGAAAACATGCATTTAGATATATCTGTAAGCACCTTGTTGTAACTTTTTTTTTTTATTTCTACTTAATCAATATTACTTTCCACTTTTTGTTTCCAAGCTTGCTAACCAGACTTTACTGTATGATCAGATTTTTTAATCTACTAATTAAGCTCTTTGCAGTGCGAAACATTTTTAGAGTTTTCAGCTACTGCAAGATCACAGAGATTATATGTATGGACTAAACTTGGAAAAGAAAGATAAAAATTAGTCATTTAACATTTTTTTTTCTTTTTCATGTTGATGGGTATGCCCCAATTTGCATATTAAACACATTTCACACACCTTTGTGATTTTGGTTCATCACTTAACATGCATTATGATATTTCTAGGACTACAAATAAAGCCATTTTGAAACAATCTTCATGTATAATAAAGACGCTCTTTTATGTTGACCTTTACTAGTGAAAAATATTTGCAAGCGAAAAAGTCAGCATCTGTGGAAATCTGGCAGTATATCAAATAGTTATGATAGAAGAATCAGCTGATACTGTCAGTGTGAGTTAACTAAGATCTACTAAGCATTAATTTTGATTTTGTCCACTCAAGAGTATCTGGGCTCCACAGTTTTCTTCTACTGAGAACAGAAACCCTTAAACACTGATTTGCTGCGATTGGGATGGAAATCTCCTTAACCATATATTAACTAAAACATCCAGATAGAGAACAGATTAAAGCCACACTTAAAACGTCAATTTGTAGAGCAGGTAATATTCTAAGCATTGGTATGATATAGCATAATGTATTTAAAAATAAGTTCAGCAAGAATACCTATTTGATAATTCCTGTTGTACTAGTCCATCCTGTGAAATGAAAGGTGTGTTTTGTTTTATTTTTTTATTGCAATTAAAAACACAAAAGAATCTGAATCTGTCAGCTACAGAACACACACAAACAGTATTCATTTAACATTACCTGTATATGGTGACTTGTTAGGAATTTCTGCTACAGTACATACACATTGTACACAGTACTCTATATAATGGTTACCTTGATATGGTGGTTTGGTAAGAATTCAATGAGTCACTGCAGAACAGCTGTGATAGAGAGCCCCTCAGGTCTCGAGCCATTTCTCCTGTAATGATATATAACAAATCAATATTTAGGGGGGAAAAGTTATTAACTATTAATTAACTACTAATAATTACACCAATGTATTTCTGATTTTTTTATGCCCCTGTCATCAAAGATATTGAGGCAAATATTTTTTGCCATGTCTGTCCACTTTTCTGTCTGTTTGTCCACAAAAACTTGAACATTGTCTGTAACATTTAGTTGGAGCTATGGCTTCATGTATTTCTGATTAATATATGCTCTGTTATTGAATGTTTCAATGCATATAGTTTTGGTCCTGTCTGTCCATCTGTCTGTTTGTTTGCCTGTTTGTGTTTTTTCCTCCTACTTCTTTGTAAGAAATGTTTAGATTTCTGAGTTTTGTGTTAAGCATGTTAATCTTTATGAATTCTAGAGATTGAATTTGATTCTACATATTTTTTTTTATAGTTTAAATTAATAATATTGCAATATATATTTATTTTAAACAAACAAAAAATTACCATTGCACAGAAATTCACAAAAATATATAGCTTTGACATATCTAAATATGTGCAATAGCTCTTATAAGACTTGATTTCTGATCAGTTAAAAATCTTATTAACTTACCATCAGTGAACAAGATGTTGTCTCCAAATATTTCCCCCATGAATTGTTTATAACCAAGTTCTGTGTACTCAGATCCATCTACAAAACAGCATATTTATCAGACGTGTTGGTCTGGCAATAAATACTGGCCTAGCACTATTAGTAATCCGGTTTCAATCAAGGGTGTATGGGGCTTTACCTGAGGCCGAATGGTGTTTGGAATAAAACCCGGGGTTATTCCCTATACACCCTTGATTGGCCAAACATTAAGTCCAATCAACTGTGTCTCAACCTATCAATAAGATTTACTACGTACTACAATGCATCATAACGTCATGTCATTATAGAAAAGCTGTGCATTGTGACGTCACCTTATTTACCCCCCGTTTAAGTCAAGTGCTCAGAGATTTACACCTGACTTTATAACCAATCAAAGTTTGTGTTACAAGCTAACTAGGAAATAAAGTTTTTTTATTCTACTATTATATCCATTGTTTTACCTGTGAGAAGTCTTTGAATTGTTTCATTACAGCCTATGAAGACGGTGGGAACGTTGAGAAATCTGGCACAGAAGACACGGCTTTTATTGTGCTGGATATTCTTGGTAACAAACTGTACGGGGTCCCTGTAGAAGTCTATTGACTTGTCGCCGAGGATTGGCAGTCCGCACGACCCGGGTACTTTTGACATAATTCTGGCTTAGCAGCTGTTGACATCAGATTAAAAAAGGTAAGAAAAGTAATTAAAAAATATCAAGGCCAGGTATAGAATAACTTCATGCAAATGATTGAAAATTTTTAAAGCTTATTGTTCTATGGCAGAAATTGAACTTTCAGACCAATAATTATGAATAGCTACTTTATAATAAAGGGCACCATATTTGTAACTGACAAAATTAAATTATAGCAGATTAAACCATTTCACACTAACTCTACCTAAAAATTTATCAACTATGAACTTGTTGCTATAAATATTTTCTTATTTTATGTAGTTTTTATCAAGCACAGCTAGTGGTATGAAGATTTAATTAACTAATAACATGTAAAAAAAGGGAAAAATCAAAGAGAAATCTGCACATTAGTCTGGAAAATTTTAATTTGTGAAACATTTCCAGAAATATTGGGACACCACAATTCCAAGTGATAAAGGCGAATGGTGACAGTTATTGTAAAGATTTTCTTCTTACTGTAATACACTGTGTCATAGTGTTTGCTCTTGCCACAATAGTCGTACTTCGAACATAATTCTTTTCAACTTTGATCCTTTGATATTATAGTGAGCGCAGTGAGAGGCACTTCATGCGAGCTCTAGAGACAACGCATGGGCGAAGAGAAAATTCCGACTTACACATTTATCCAAACAATTTTTTTCCCGTGTTAACTTTTGGACCTACAATGCATCGATCACTTCTTTAAGCTACCTTCTCTCTCGTATAATAGGAAAAGTTTAACAAAAATAAACTGGCTTTGATTTAATGGATATATTGTAGTAAAATAGTAAATAAAACGTTCTTCATTTAAATTCAGCACAATTTAGGCTTCGGTCTGGAAATGCAATTTAAATACATCATGTGATATGTCCAAGTCTAGACCATCAAATGTCACTTGCGGTTTGATGATCGAGGCTTATCATAATTAAACTGAATATTTGCACTCACACTAATGGTAGCACCGTCAACATATTATCATGCAATAAACTCTCAAGGTTATATTGGATAGAAAATATTTATATAGATATACAAGAAAATTAACTGAAAAATATTTTTCCCTGTTAGCTGCAGATCTTTCTCTCTGGTCTGAAAAGGGATGGAGAATCAGACCATTTATTTACCCATTCCAATTTTTTTTTTAGAACAGAGAGCTACACATCTACAGCTATATCCATATTTTTAACAGAAAAATACATTTACAATAACAATATTTTGTTTTATGCTCATTACATGGCTCAAGTGGATTGTGCATTGATTGATTGTGCATAAGTGGTTGTATTGATGGAGATAAATGTTATAAATGAATATGCCTTTGATGTCCATCCATGCGTTTTAAGCCCCTGCTTTACTTTAAATATCTGTCAGCACCAATGATCCAATCCTTGTTGGGGTGAGGGATCTTATTCATTCTGAATCTGGACAATTTTAGTTCCTGCTGGTTTTATTACTCGGAATACCTCCGATTTCTAGTCCACTGAAATGATCGCTCCAGAAATGAATCGAAAATGTTTGTTACAAACTCACTGATTAGACAATTTTATGCATTCTTTAAGTTATCGTCCAATCAAATTTGTTCTTTCTCCATACTCTCGTACGTCAATAAGGATAAATCGCCATTTTGAGAGAAATTGTGTTGTTTGCATTATTTTTAATAGTTAAAATTTCAGACATAATTGGATCGGAAAGCACAAAATTTTGTGTTAAAAACAAAAATAAGGAACTGAATTCCTTAACAAAGATGACGGCAGGCGAAGAAATTTTAGACAATCGACCTAAAAGGAAGTTCGTTTGCGGAGCTGTCGAAGGTATGAAAGATGAAAGTGTGAACCCCCGAAAATGACACTGTACAGGCTGGAAACAATGAGAACACGTTATATGATAATTGTCATAAAAACTGTGGACCAGTTACAAATTTGTTAGGCGTGTGTATTTTTAAGATGTCTGACTCGGCCCTTATCCCCCAACAAGGTATTCGGTCTCCACCCTTTTCGTTCCCTCGAAGTTTGGGTCCGAGATCATAGGTGTCCCAAATAGCAGCCAATGCTTCTACTGAACAGCTTCAATAAAAGATGTTGGATTTTATAAAAATCATGGATCGCTTTAATCTCAGCGAGATAATAGATTTGTAGAAACTAAAAATTTTGGTCTGTTGTCTCTACAAATCTCGAAACTGTCATTGTCACACAAAGTGATAAGGGAAATCTTGCCCCCAGTTTGAACGCTTGTTTTAATCAAAACAAGCTGGAATGAATTAGCTGCTAGCTTTAACTTTTCCCTTTGGGCATCTTTTTAAGTTTCTATCACTATATAAACTGCTGTATTACCTTTAAATGGTTGAAATCCAACTAAATATAAAATTGTTGATTGTATAGCAATTTCTTTTATTTGGTTAAACGTCTGACGCAGAAGACTTTCAACAATTGTCTGCTTCAAGTACTTTGTTCTGTTACTATTTTCTAGGAAAATATACCAGAGATTGAAGTATTTGAGGCAGACTATTGCTGGAGGTGTAAAATTCTTTATACATCTGTGATAATGCCCAACATTGGTGCCAGGCACATTTAATGGAAGAAGATTACAAAGAAAAATGACAGGAGAGAAAATATTTTATATTACACACGTTTTGTTTATCATTTGTTTATATATATTATACAGTTATTGACTAGGTATGAAGGCAACATATGATTTGTTGGACCTGAAGGTGAAAATGTTGCCCTTGGCCTGCGGCTTCGGCAAAAATTTACACCTTCAGGACCAACAAATCATATGTTGCCCTCATGCCCAGTCAATAACTGTTTTGTTATACCTTTCAGTGCTCACTTAAGATTTAATCAATACACACTATATTATCAATTACTTTATATGGATAATTGTGGCTTAATCAGTAAATATAAAACAATAGCTGAGAAAGAACAAAATTAATTGTATTTTTATTATATCACAAAAATTATCACAAAACATACTCTTCCCTTCTTCCTTACCTTGCTGATAGCAACAACTTTTGCAGCTCTTAACTTCTGCTATTTCTGTGTCGCCAATATTGAACGATAAATAATTACTTGTGACATAGCAGTGACGTTGTGCTCTAACAATTCTTATGTTGGACCGGCAGGCCAGTCAACAGTGAAATTGTTAGACCGATGTAATAAACATTTGTTTTGTTGGACTTTTTATTAGTAATAAATATATATAGAAAGTTATTTATAAGGGTATAACAATAAATATTATCTTATCTTGTTTTAACATATGGCAGTGTTAAATTTGATTCTGTGCTTTACAGGTTTTTATGGAAGACCATGGACCACAGAACAAAGGAAAATTCTGTTTGAGTGGTAGTTATTTTTTTATTATTTGAAGTCATGAAATAAATTTTATGCATAATCAAAACATGTTCAGTGAGATATTCAGTTTTTGAAAAAAAAATGTCTTCATACCAATTTTATTTTTAATTGAATGTCTAGATACAAAGTAGAAAATGTTTGTACTGAATCTTGTTATATAATTTTTCATAGATCTGGTTCGTAAAAATTTTCATTCAGTATAAATAAGTGTTTTCTGTTTTGCAGGTTGAAGAAGATGAAGATGAACACATACATGTACGCCCCTAAAGATGATTGTAAGCACCGAGCTTTCTGGAGGGATCTGTACTCGGTAGAAGAAGCGGGTGAGTCAGGGTCAAAGGGCAGTAAAATATTAGTTCAGAGTACACATATACTCAAGAGAAGGGAATAATGAGTCATTGGTCGGAGAGCAGTAAAAGTGTAGTTTAGAGTACACATGTACTCAGTAGAAGCAGCTGGTTGGTCAGGGGTCAAAGTGCAGTAAAATTGTAGTTCAGAGTACTCCTGTACTCAGCCAGGATTCGACACTAACGGTGGACCGGCGGCCCGAGTCCACCAAAAAATTGGAAGGTCCACCAAATGTTCTGGACAGGGTGGACACAAAATTTGAACACCGTATTAAAAAAAACAGTGAAATTCCAGTTTTTTTTTCTGTACCTGTATTTTACTAATGTTTTAGGTAATCAGGGGGACCTAGGATATATTTTACATGTAAGAAGCGGACGTGAGTTCACGGACCTTGAAAGAAGCAGTAAAATATGCCAATAGCCAGTCTCTCCTCTGTTTACGTTCAGAAAGTAAAATTACACTGGGTAACAGGAAATTGCTTCACGCCTGAACGCACACAGTTGGAGATAATTAGAATTGATTGACAGCTAGGGCTGGGCAATAATATCGATATTTCAATATATTGCAATACAGTGACAAAAAATATCGTATCGCAATACGATTTTGTAATATCGATATATTGGCAATATACTTAGATTAAAGAATTTTGTCATTAAATAAAAATAGACTTATGGAAGTTTGTTATTAAGCCAAACAGTAAGACAGAAGTTGTTTTGGGGGAACATTTCAGAGCATAACTTAAAGGAAATCAACAAGATTTTTTTTTTCGTGTTGGTAACTTATCATAGTTATGTACATTCTGCATGTAAATTAAAATAAATATAGAGAAAATGGGAAAAATGAGTCATTGGTACAGTTTAAAATATCGGAATATATCGCAGCAGTAAAAGTGTGTGTGTTTTTTTTAGTTTAGAGTACACATGTACTCAGTAGAAGCAGCTGGTTGGTCAGGGGTCAAAGTGCAGTAAAATTGTAGTTCAGAGTACTCCTGTACTCAGCAGTAGGGAAAAATGAGACAGGGGTCAAAGGGCAGTAGATTTGTAGTTCAGAGTACACATGTACTCAGTAGAAGGAGCTGATGAGTCAGTGGTCAAAGTGTGTATATATTTATGTGTAGATGGATACAAAGAAACCCTTATCAACTAATCTAAATCTAAAGCTTATAAAGGCTGATGTCTAAAGATAAGAATTTTACTAGCTTTGTATGCATTAAATTAAAGACTCCAACAAATTAAACATGATTTCTATTGTGTTCCTCAGGGTTCTTGATGCTTCTTGATAAAATGATAAAAGAATTCTCTTTTTTCAAAATGCTTTATCGTTTTAAATCACCAGTTATTGTTGTTTTTACCTTCAGAGAATTTGACATCACTGATAGAAGCGGCTAAGGAACATGGAGTTGAGTTTGTTTATGCTCTTTCACCAGGCCTGGACATTACTTTTTCCAGCACCAAAGACGTCCAGTTTCTGAAACGCAAGCTGGAACAGGTATTGTAGCGTAATTATTCTAAGAGCTATAATTTGAATACTTAGTAGACACAATGGTCAACCTTTCTGTAAATCAAAGGATCCAAATTCTCTGTGAAAAAAAAATCATGCATATTTACTGGAAATGAAGGATTCTTAAGAATTTGTTTGAAAGCAGAAAACTTGCAAAAAAAAAAAAAAAAAGGATAAAATGTGCATTTAAGATTGGACAAAGCCCATGAAGAATATGACTTTCCTTTCCTAGATAAATATTGACACCTAAGGGGATTTTTTATGTGCAAACAAGTCCTTCCTCATGATCACGCAATAAATATATAGTATCCTTATAATGTAAAGTATCCTTATGTAGGTGACAAGTTTTGGATGTACAGCCTTTGCCTTGCTGTTTGATGATATTGAGCCCGGGCTGAGTGAGACAGATCGCAGCGCTTTCCAGTCATTTGGTGCAGCCCAAGTGTCCGTCACAAATGAAGTCTATCAGCATCTAGGGCAGCCTCAGTTCTACTTCTGTCCTACAGGTAAGAAATCGGCAAAAGGTAGACTTGGATTAATCAATGTTTTTAAAGTGTTCAAGTTTTAAAACAAGATATTTCTCTAGAAGGTTAAATGAAAATTCAAGTTCTTAGAAAAGAAAGCTAAATGGTAAAGCTTATTTGTTAACACTGTTGAATACTATTATTCTGTGGTTTTTACAGAGTACTGTTCATCAAGAGCTGTTCCTAACCTGCTCTCATCAGACTATCTAAATACTCTCGGAGCCAAACTACTGAAGGACATTGACGTTTTATGGACAGGTAGAGTTCTGGGGATTTTTTAAACTTTTGAGCTCTTTTAACGTTTAAGTGAGGTTTTCTGATTTGAACAGATCCAGCACCTAGCTCTCTGTCTGTCATGTTGTCAGGATTCATGTTTATTAAAAGCAAGGCTGTTGCCAACAGTTGTTACATAATGCATAAAAATAACATCAAGCTTTAATGTATTGGTTGAATCCGTGGACTTAAATTTGGAGAGGGTAAATTTACCTCCATATGTTTGAAAATTGGTCAGTAAAAGACTCCAGTGAGCATTGTGACCTATACACAATTCGTTTCAATTTTTCTGATGTGTTCGTTCTACAGAATTTCACTATTTGGAGGGTTTTATCTATTGTCAGGTCCTAAAGTGATCTCCAAGAAGCTGACTGTTCAACACCTACAGGAAGTGTCCTCTGTGATTAAGCGACCGCCTGTTATCTGGGACAACATACATGCTAACGACTACGACCCCCGCCGGGTATTTCTGGGACCGTTTGATGGGAGGTCCCCTGAGATCATTCCGTATTTACGTGGACTTCTAACAAACCCTAACTGTGAATTCGAAGCTAACTATGTGGCTCTTCACACGCTTGGTCAGTGGAGTGTGTCTAATAGTGATGGTCTAAAGAAGGATATTATTGCAGGTGATTAGTGTTTGCCAATGTAGGAATAAATATATAAGATTTTATCATGTCCAGAATTAATGATTTATATAAAGGCAACCTATTAATATGTAAAAAACAAAAACAAAAAAAATTATCGAAAAATCAAAGTGCATTTGAATCTGTTACTTAAGTATGTAATGTCAATTTGATTTAGATGGTGAACATTTAAGTCCTGTTGCTGCTGACATAAGACTAGAAACAGAGAGTGATTTTGGTTCAAATGAAGACTTGCCATCCCGTATTGATCGTAGGTACCAGACCAGACTGGCTCTGAAGCAGGCATTGGATGACTGGATGCTGGAAATCAACACAAATCGTCAGCCCCCTCGCGTGGTGGCCCCTCTCACAACTACTGGTCCCCCCATTCCCATCCCCTCCATCCCAGCCCCACCCATGGACAATAATGTTGCCCCAGTGTGTGCAGACAATTTGGCTGCCTCCTTTGCAGGCCCTCAAGATCCCAATCCCCCTGCCAACCTTGTAGACTCAACCATACCCTCTGATTCAGAGTCTGAGGTCTCAGAGGACCCAGAACCAATGGAATATGTGCCCACAGCTGTCCCCCCTCTGTGTAAGGAACCCACCCCCTCCCCAGAGGACGTGATGCAGGTGGAGACGGAGGTACCCTCCGCTGTAGAAGACAAGGACTGCTGTATGACTAACCCTGAGTGCTTCATGCGAGAGGATCTGAGTCTCCTGGTGGACTTCTTCTACACCCCGTTTGACCACGGAATGACCAGTGTCCAGCTGTTACAGGATCTGCATCACCTGAAATCCCACGCTGGGGTGGTGGTCCGTGGACAGGGGAGGTTTAATTCTGAGGAAGCGTCAAACTGGATGGAAGCCGCTGATAAATTCCTGGCAGTGGTCCAGAGGGTAGATCGGATGATCCGACTTATCCAGCATATTCCTAACGCCGCCGTGGTTCACGAGTTCTTCTCCTATCTATGGGACCTACAAGGACTGCTACAGCTGTGTGCTAGTTATGTCCAGTGGCTCAGTAAGTTACCTGACAAGAAATAACACTGTTATCCTTAACATTAAAGGAAATTATGTGAAGAAATAACATTGTTATCCATAATATAAAAGGAAATTTATATGTGAACAACAATTACTTCTATCCTGCTGGACACAACATGTTGAGTAATGTATGGATTTGATTTTTTTCAGAACTTGGACAGATTAAGGAGTCAGCCATTCCCCGCCTGTCGGAGCCCTCTCCTAATTCTCCCACATGTAAGTCATCTTTCTGTGTAGACATAGCCCACAGCACCGGGTAGGGAGAAATCTTGGGAACAAGGGGGGAGTTCTAAAATTTACATGAAATTTAACGAGAATGAGTTTTGATTTCTTCGAAACATTAACAATTAAGATTGGATGTGTGTTCCCAGTATTTCTTTCTTGTTCTACAGTCATGTTTGATAATACTTGTTTGTTTCTGACAGACACAACAGGAGGAATTTTAATAAGGTGGGCCACTCTCTTCTTTTCACATCAATCAATTTGAGGGATATTGGGGGGTGGAGGGAGTATTGTGCCATTGAGATGTGTATCATAGGGGTGTAGACCAAGTCAAAATGTAATGTCAACAGAATTAAAATGAAGTCTGATGTGAAGAGAACTAGTGGGTCTGCCACATTTCTTTTCAGAGCAAGTTTTATTTCCCTGCAGATTTAAGAGGTACAGGGACTACTTGTGAATTGATATATATTTTTTCAGAGTGCTTCACAAGACAGGACCTGTTCACCTCTGAATCCGCTGGAGATGTTTTATTTAACCTGGCTAGGGGGAGACTACTCCTCCCAGGCAGCGTCTGTCATGACTGTGGAACCATTTTCTGAAGAAGGATGAACTAGATAACCCTTCACAACAATTCAGCCCAGACTTTATTTGAAATTATTAATAATTACAGTTTGAAATCTTGGATGGAAAACAGAATGAACTTTTTTTCCTTTTTTGCTAAACAAACATGGAAGGGTTCTAAGTTGTCTGTATATTCTTCAGCAAAATGCAATCTAGGTGCTATAATTAATAAAATGTTTCTTTTTACAACAGTTGTGGTAAGTATGTAAAGTTTCTATGATATATATCACATAAGTAAACTTAAGAAATGCTAATTATGGTTGAAATAAAAACAGACAATGAGAAATTCTAACTACAGGTCTAATCTCAGCGTTCTATTTTTCTTTTGTACAATACCAGGGTGTTCAAAAGGGTATAAGGAACTGTTCCATAGTGGAGACCAGGAACCCTGGGTATTTCGTGGCGGAGTTCAGGGGGAAATCCAAGTATGTATAACGGACCAGCTACCGCCGCCATTCCGAGTCGACTCCCACATTTTACTGCTTTCATGTATTTTGTTCTGACAGCCATACTTGTATGACTGTCTATACAGAGAAGTTATAAACATTTATTAACCTTTATTTTTGGCAGTCTTTGCTCTCCTTATCCTAAGTTTTATTTCCAGGATTGCGCTGCGGCTGACAGAAAACAGGCAGATTGTACGACCAGCTGTGTTCAGTCTTTGTTCAATTTGTGTTCCGTCTTAACCTCAGTGGGCTGTTTGCCCGGAACTTAAGATGAATGGAGATTTGATCTCATTCAACATCTACATTCATTCTATAAATTCATTTCCCATTTACCTCTTGACACAGTTGATTTTGATGCAATTTGTCTGTTCCTAATTAACTTTCTTTTTTTCAGATATTGCGCATTATGCTCTTTGCCTTGCATTTAAAAGGCATGCAAATGACGGTGGCTAGAATACTCAGTAACGCCGCGAGTGATTGCTCTTGTTCACTGGTTGGGAGGGGGAGGAGAAAAAGTGTCAGAAAACTGACCATTGCTAAAAAAATATCTGCTAAAGTCATTTCTTGTTTTTTTTAAAAACTAGTCAACAAGAATGTTATATAGGAAGAAGTTGACAAGTATTTGTGCCACTTGTTTTTGCAGTAGTAACTATTTTTACTCATACTTAGGATAGGGATCAAAGACTGTGATATGGCAGCCTTCAATTGGATTATTTTGGCTTTTAAACAATTTTGTTCTTAATTTGGAAATTTTTAAAAGAAAAAAAAAGCTGTCATAAAGTGTATCTTGCGCTGTGCGTCCAAAGAAACGGCCCTGTTTCTGCGCGTCCTCTTGATTTAATGGCTGTTATAACTATAATGTTTTATTTACGCAGCGTTTATTGCCAAGTGATGGGGCACACGACCTCTTCCTGATCAGACCACCTGAGGTTTTATTGAAGAAATTATATAGCTACAGGCCATATCTCCCCACAGACCAAGTAAGTTTTAAATGTATCAAGACTTAGAAAGGGGGTGGGGGGTATGGTAGGCCCAGTTTGGGAGAAAATTTCAGTTTCCATACAACTATGAAACAAAGATGATTAGAATTAAATTTCAAAAGCAAGTTACATACTTGCATATGTGTATCTTTGCAAATTTAACATATAGTTCTGGTGATCTTATACCTTAGGAACATTTTGAATATTTTTCTGCAAATGAAAAGTTGAGAATTTCTTACAGAAGGGAGGTCAGGAAATTGCCGTTTTAAATCATTGTGCTCACTAATTTGATAGTTTATTATCACAGTTAAATGAACACAAAATTTTATTGTCTATTCTATATGAGTAAGCTCTTTGTAGATAGAATGTCAGATTTTTTCCTGTCATTTACAGAGCTCTGTGTATAACATTTGTTTGAAAACCTGTGATGATGGTATGGATGGTACAGAAGTGTTCCCTGACTTCCCAGATCTAATAGCAGACAGGTGGGTTATACAGCATAATGCAAAGTTAAGTTACTTGTCCCAGATCTAATAGCTGACAGGTGAGTTATACAGCATAATGCAAAGTTAGGTTACTTGTCCCCGATCTAATAGCAGACAGGTGAGCTACACAGCCTAAGGCTTATTTATGTTAAACTTCCCTGGTCTTAAAGCAGACAGGTAAGGTAATATGCTTAGGAATAGGAGTAGTTGTATTACCTTAAGAAGGTATGAGACACAAACGTCCTAATGATGTTGGTATTATTAACTTTTATACTTTTTTTTACAGGATCATAGGAGCCATTGTCTCGATCAGTCCAGAGTACTGCTTTGTTGTTTGTGATGAGCTTGGAGTGTGTGGTTACGCTCTGGCAGCTCTAGATGCTACCCAGCTACGACAGAAGTCCGAGATTTCGTGGATACCAGCCATGTACCAGAAGTACCCCAAGCCAAACAAAGAGGAGCTGACGCCTAGTGAGGTATATACACTGTATAATGGTGAAAAGCATCCTATTGTATTGATATAGAGTCCATTCAAACCAAGCAAACTGGCTGTGAAAATTAAGTCTACATAAGTTAAAGCTTTTACGGTTGGGTAGGGGGTGGTTTAGTCCTATTTTATTTTTTAAAATCACGATAGAGCAATTATCTGTTCTGGTCAAATAATAGTTATTTCTTTCAAATGGTACAAATTTTTGAGGCTATCTGTACTTTACACATTTTGTGGTATATTTTTACAGTATGACTCTTCTCTTGCTTGTAGGAGGTGATTATGAGTTTTCACACACCCCAGAGATCCACCCCTGTATCTGTGACCCAGAGATACCCCTCTGTGATTCGTCTGGACTTCATCCCACCTCGAGTAGAAGACTACAGTGTTCCTAAGCGACTGTTGGCATGTGCGGTCATGGCATTGAAGACCAGCGGTTCCACCGGAATCCATGTAGAGATGAACGTGGGCGACAAGTGTATGATTGATCACTACCAGAGGATGGGCTTCTTCCCGATAATGGATGCCGCTGGTGGGCCGGACGATGTTGTTTACCTGGGGAGAGCCATCTGAACCTCCCCCCCCCCCCAGACCTCACCCCCCAGGGCCATCTGACCCCCAGCATTCCACATGAATCATATTATGGTGTAACGCAATCAGAAACTGTCTGAATGGATCAGTTTAAGTCTCGTGACACAAAACAGTCAGTGTTACTGACACAAAACAGTCAGTGTTACTGACACAGTTACTGACAGAATGGACGTCTGTCACAAAATATAGTGCTATAATTAGAGATTTTCATTTGCAACAAAGTATCAAGTAAAAAGTCTTTTATTTTCGTTGTTGTGTAAGTTGTACATGACTTTTTTCATATTTGTTAAACTTGGCTGTGATGTTATGAGTAGTAATTTGTGGCTCATTAAAGAATAAAATTTATGATACATTATGTTTTATTTGTTTTCAGTTCAAGTTTCAGTTTCAGTTCAAAAATGTAAAGCATGTACACACAAAGTGGGTGTTGCTTGGTTTAAAGTTGTTTCACAATATTATTCACAAATTCAAGTATCATTTACATCAAAAAATGGGGTGTATTTCCCCCAGATCTTTAATGAAACCATGCTTCCAAGTTAAATGATTTATCATGGCTTGTTTGTTCATAAGAAGAGAAATTTCTTTTTCCCATTAAACCCCTGTTGTGGCCCTATCCTACCCCCAGGTGGCCATGTTTTGCACAATTAATTATCTACACTAGCCCGGGAAACTTAAATTTTAGGTTTAAAGTCTAGTGTTTCTTGAGTTTGACATTTTAAAAAAACTTTGTCCTACATTATTTCATTTACAACATTGATCCCTTATATTGGCCCCACTTTACCAAAGGGGACACAATTAGAATAATATAGAAACCAATGCTCTCAGAGTTTCCACTCAAATTTCAGCTTTTCTGTTCAAGTGATTCTGAGAAGATTAAAAAAAAATCCTATGTATTACAATTTAAAAACTTAGATACCCTATAGTGATCCCACCTTCATCCCCATCCTACAGGGGATGATTTGAACAATTTAGAATTTACGCTACCTCGGGAAGCTTTCCTTTTCTGGTCCAATGGTTCTCGTGAGAAATTTCCATTGACCTATCCTATTGAGCCTACAGCTCAGGTGAGCTAAATTTAGCTTGAAAAAAAAATTCTTGACATGTAAATTATTGCATGAGAAGAAATGCCCCTCTGACCGACGTGACTTAGTTCACTGATGGTAACATTGCCCTAATGTACCGGGAATAATTATGAAGGAGAGCGGTATAAGAACAGGTGACTTGGAAATCGTGATCAGCTGATTCTAATCGCCCGTTTACAGCAATTAATGAGAAATATATTGAGGCGATTTCTTCATTTATAGTACGGTTTGTTGAATTCACTAGGTATACCGTATTCTCTATTGAGAAGTCGACGGCTCGTTTCAATACTCCCCCTCTTGAGGGGGAGTATTGAAACGAGCCGTCGACTTCTCAATCTCTATTGAGAAGTCGACGGCTCGTTTCAATACTCCCCCTCTTGAGGGGGAGTATTGAAACGAGCCGTCGACTTCTCAATAGAGAATAGGTATACCGTGGGACTGATTCTGTTCAACTTTTGTGACGAGGAGGGACACACGTGACCCTCCATTCCTCTGTAGCTCGGTCCACTGATGACCGACCAAGAACGTACACCAAATCATCCCCAATAAAGGTTAGTCCCGGCATTTTACTGAAAAAGTGAAATTACTGCTAGGAAATAAGGAATAAGATAAGGAACTATATATTATAGCACTAAATTAATTTGTTTAGATGACGATCAGCCGATTAGCAATGGATTTTGAGAGAAAAAAATGTGGCAGGAAGGAAATATTTACATTTGACAAACTCGACACCGGTAGATAAGGTTTTCTCGAGAACAAGTAAATAAAAGGAACATCTCAAATCTTACCATTAATTAAACGCTGACAGTCATCTTATCTTTAGAACACCTATATGGTCAAATGCTTCCTAAGTGAATATGATGCAATACAAACACATGCCAGCAAATCACAAGCCTATCTATTTTATCAGGAATTCCTTAATGGTGAGAAAGTATGGACGATTGGAATTTATCGTAAACTCGCAGACATCGCATTGAGATAAAGAGAGGTACATTTATTTTTCCAAATGTCTTGTAAATGTTTAAAACATTTATACATGTATATATTGTTGTAAAGATGAGAAAAACTCTTTTTATTTGTTCCACATGATTATAGGTATAAACATTCTCATAAAACAAATATATTTTCTTGCATTTTTCAATTTCTACTATTAAAAGGTCTTTGTCATTAAGACAGCTAGCATGGTGCCAGATAAAGAATTCTTATATGTCAAATAAAAAGATTACTTGAAGTTCTGACATAATTATGTAAAAGTTCTGCAAAGAAGTAACGACTTTACCTTAAGACCAAAGGTGCTGGGTCAACACCCAAGGAAATGTCTCATTCTATAAATACTTGTAATTAAAAGAAATGTCAAAATAACTCTTGAATCAAGAATAAAGTATGGAGATGACGAACAGAAATCAAGCTCCAAATTCTATTGAAACAGATCAGGGATAAGAGCAAACACGGACCTCTAAATACACCAGAGGTGGGATCAGGTGCCATCAAGGCCAATAAGTTGTGATCAATTGATTTCTTGACAATCACATGTATAAAATAATGTCGCGCAGCTAACCTAAACAGATTTTCATGTACAAGTTTGGTTTATTTTAAAATCAGCTTTGAAGCACCATCTAGAGCCACTTATAATCTTGATCTTTGTACTCGGCCAACTTACTTCTTTGTTATTGACTGAGGACAAAGGTCAAGTTCATATTTAGGTCCAGCAGTTACTTGAAATATTGTCAACTGAATGATTTATTCACACACCAAGTGTCATAAACCAAGATTATTATTAATGAGTTAAAAAAAGAAAACCTTTTAGCGCTAGCACATTTGTATAAAAAACAGGAAGAAATCAACTTGACGCAATGTCATTCTAACATTTGAACTTCCTCAACTTTGAATTGCTACAAAATACTAACAACCAGTCTCTACTTTCCTATAAACACTAAAAAGTAACCATTTTAATGTTGTTGTATTTTTACAGAATGAAGGACGCCTCGGACTTTGTCAACCATCCCGTAGACAGGGGGTGGGCCTGGGTCATACTAACAGGTCAGTGCTTAGGTTACACTCATCCACACACGCCCTCAGAGAGAGAGAGAGAGAGAGAGAGAGAGAGAGAGAGAGAGAGAGAGAGAGAGAGATACTAACGGGGGGGGCTGGGTTTTATAGTAACAGGTCAGTGTTTGGGTCACACATCCCCCACACCCTCCCTTATACACACATACGAGAGAGAGCTACTGACAGGCAACTTTTTGAAATAAAATGCGGACCAGCAAATGCAATTGAGAACATTTCTTTGTTGCTGTTTAAAAGCATTTTTTCAAAGGAGAAATATTGTCGAAAGACGCTGTTACTTAATTATTACACTTACCATTTCAAATACGGTCAAAGGACTGAAAAGTCGCCAACCAAAAAAAAAAAACAACTACATGTAGTAATATCAATCTGATTAAGATGTTTCATTTACGTTGATAGTATCAGATAAAATGGAAACAAAGCGGTTGAAGTCGATTTAAACAATTTAATCATTTGATAAACATCTAAAACTTATTATTTTCAGCCTCCAGTCTGATCTTTATGATATACGTGGGAACTATCAAAACCTCAGGGTTATTCTTTGTGGCCTTTCAAGAATTCTTTCAGGCCGAGGCTTCCACAACGTCACTCATTCCTGGAATCCTCCAAATCATTTACAGCTGTGCTTGTAAGTCTACATATAACAATATTGAAAGAATTCTCCAAATGATTTACAACTCTGCTTGTAAGTTAACATATTATGATATTGACAGAATTCTCAAAATGTTTTACAGCTGTGCTTGTAACTCTGCTTATAACAATATTGACAGAATTCTTCAAATCATTAACAGTTCTACTTGTAAGACTACATATTACAATCGTGAAGTAATTCTCCAACTCATTTAGAGCTCTGCTTGTAAGACTACGTATTACAATATTGACAGAATTCTCCATATCATTTACAGCTCTGCTTGTAAGTCAACATATTACAATATTGATAGAATTCTCCTCATTATCTAGACCCATGTTTGTAATTCTACTTACTATCACACTGTTTCAGCTTTCCTTATCCGTTTTGACTTCTTTAATTCACGGAGTTTGTCATATTAGATGCTGCACTCCTCATACTAACGTTTAGGTGTCAGATTTCATTCTATCTCATACACGATTTTTTCAGCTATACATATTCTTACTTTTGGACTTCACCCTTTTCAATGTTTATTTTACAGGTCTGTTTCAGCTTTCTCTAAATTAACATTTAGACATCATCTTTTCTGTTAGTTACATTTATAAAAGACCATGTTTCCGAACACAACTTATTTTAACATTTGGAACCTTTCTTAACAGTGTTAATCATGCAGCACTTAGCTTTATTTCAGTTTCTGGAGTGCACCAATCCCTATGTTGATGTGGATTTTCTTTCAGCTATCCATATTCCATCATTTAGTCTAGAAGACTTACCATTTTATGTTAATCATACAACACTTAGCTTCATATTGATGTGGATTTGTTTCAGGTATCCCTATTCAAACATTCAGTCTGGAAATACTTACCATTTTATGTTAATCATACAACACTCTGTTCCAGCTCTCCCTATACTGACTTATGGACTTCACCATTTCTCAGTTCGACAGATCATCATTGTCGGGGGATTTCTCGGGGCCTTGGCATACTTCATTGGATTCTTTGCTGGCAGTATTGAGATAATCGTCATAACTCATGGAGTGATCTACGGTAAGTAGCCATACATGGCAACGCCCTGAAAATGATATGCATCGTTAGATTTTTGTTTTTAAAATGTCGACTAATATCCTTTATTTTCATATAATGGGAAAAATTATTTCTTTCATGGTGAATGTCAGGTATTGGGTTTGCTACGCTCCATGGGCCGGCGGCGTACCTGATTGGTACGTACTTTGACAAACGCCGGGCATTGGCTAATTCCATTCTAGTGGCGGCCTCTGGTTTTGGCGGGCTCGTCCTCCCGCCTCTCTATCGATACCTAATGGACGTGTACGGCCTGCAGGGAACCATGCTCATATTGTCTGGAATTCTACTTAATGTCGTGGCTCTAGCAGGATTGCTTAAACCACCCTCTTTATTTGCGCCGAAAGAAAAAGTCACCATTGAACCTCATTATAAAATTGTGAGTATTCATGAAATAAACGGAGACAGGAAATACTCTCCAATAGTGAAGGGAAAGAAACGTTCGATTTCTCTGTGTGAAAAGGCACCGTCATCTCCAGTGGAAAACGGCGAGGGATGGGGAAGCTTACCCCACAATCTTAATTCAAGAGCACATCACAGTTCCACTCTGACACGAAGCTTGCAGAGTTTAGGAAGCACTGATATCATTTATAGCCTTTCCCAAACTGAGTTAGAGGTACCCTCTACAAACAGAGAGAAGAAACAAAAAATCCTTGATATGACGCTGCTAAAGAAGCCATTACTACAGTTATTTTTGTTTGTTTATTGTTTTGGAAGCATTGGCTCGGCTTATGGTCACATTTTTATTTCTCCATTTGCACGTGACCAAGGATTTACAACTAATGATATTTCAATGCTAATTTCTATAACAAATATGTGTGATTTCATTGGCCGGTTGATGTGTGGGGTGATAGCCAATCAGCGACTGATAAAGAACTCTACCCTGGTGGCCATCAGCCAGCTCGTTACTGGGGTAACCTTGACCCTCTGCTCTGTTTACGGACCTTTCTGGAGCTTTTGTGTTCTTGCTGTCATGTATGGTTTGTTTTCTGGCGCCATTTTCTCTATGACGCCTGCTATTATCGCCGATTTTGTTGGCATGGAAAATTTTAGAACTGCCTTTGGTATTCTGATTCTATTCCAAGGATTTACCCTTGGTGGAGGTGCTCCTTTCTTAGGTAAATTTAGAAGTTTTATTTCTGATTTTCAGTATGGAATACCTACTAGTTTTTTTTTCAAAGTAAACAATTTAAACATTATATTTATTGAAAACAAAATCTAATAAACTGTTTGTCTTTTTAGGCTATCTTCGTGACAAATCACAGAGCTACACGACATCTTTTTATTTTATGGGTTCTCTACTGTTAGTATCTGGGGTGTCTTTGTTATTAGAACCGTGTGTTCGGTCTCGACAGGAAAAGATGGAGTCAAGAGAAGAAAAGACAGAGGAAATAAAATTGTCCGTATGACACCCAGCCTTTTATGATGTCTAAAGCAATGTGTGATCACCTAGGGTTTTTTTAATTACAGTACTTGGAGAATCAAGTAGATACCAATTCAATTCTCTATGTTCCTCATAATCAACTCGCAAAAAAGTAATTCAAAATTTCATAGAGTTTCTGAAATGGAAGGAGTAATGGCTCTATGTGTATATTACAACACTATATAATGCAAAGTTTAATTTAAAAAAATAAAAAAGTCATCAGTTAGAAATCCGAAACAATCGTTTTAAAAGTTAACCAAATACAGGAAACTCGGTGAACTCTCAATTTTTATGAAGTCCATCGGATGGGTCATATAAAATGGTGCCCCGTGTCAAGGATTACAGCCCCCTTCACACGCAAAAGAACGTGTCTATGGTTTCCGAAAAAAAAATGTAGGCTCACTAAGGGCCACCTAAAACCTTCAACTGGTCACTTGGTACCGATAGATGGCTGAAACAGTCCCAATTTGGCACAAACATTAATCGAGCAATCAATATTAATGCTCTAGCAAAAATACTTTAAAAATATTTTTTATTGTTTCAATTTGTTAAAGGGCAAACGTATTTGGATTCTTTACTGAAAAGACGTTCATAATAACCTATCAAATGAAATGTATTGGGATAACAAATAGTATTCAAGTCCAAAAATCTCTTAAACAATCCAAAACTGGAGCAGAGGAAACAAGGATCTCCAACAAATCAGAGGTGGGATCAGGTACCATTGAGGGGTGAACATCCCCTCCACATCTCCTTCTCGACTGTTTTTTTTTTATTTAATTGAGGGGTATAAAAGGCTTGGTAGAACATCAACTGTAAACCGATATGTACGATGTCCTGAACTCTGCGACATACAACACAGATATCATATGACTTTAAGCTTGACTTTCTCTCATGAATGAATCTTTAATGAATTCATATCAGTTTATGTGACCATTTTTCATTTCATATTTTCATTGTGAGAAGCTGGAAAACAAGGGCTATTCGAGACACTGCATTAAAAATGAATGGTAAAGAATCAGTAAACTAGAGTGAAATTAAACGCTTCATTAAAGCTGCTTTAAACTTGTTAAGAATCCCAAAGAAATATTCACTGAAATTTGTGAATTTTACAGCAACAAATGCCTGCTTTATAGACACATGTTCAGGTGGATTTCAATGAACAATAATGATATAATGGGCGTCCTTGGCGAAAAGGACTTAAAACAACCAATGTTCTGTTTTCCAAAATCCAAAAATTATCATTTATGATGTTTGATTGACTTTAAAAAACATAGCAAATTTAATAGGCATCAATTTGGGGGTAGTTTACACTATGATAAACAAACATTTGACTGTAAAAAAGCTAATGGTCACCATAGGTTTTGAAAAATGAGTGAAAACGACATCATGTGAGAATATCTATTTTTATTTTAAAAAATCAGATTTTAGTTATCCACGTAAGTCCGAATTTCAAACAGATAATAAAACTTAAATACATTGTTTTATTTTCCTCAATACATTTTTACAATAAGATCACTAGACAAAAACAGCAAAGACCTGAAAAGAGCAAAGAATTACAAGAGCACCAAGACAGTTTTATATGCCATTTTCTGAAATATTAGTGGTCTTCTTGTTCAAATTCTTATTCGGAAAGGCAGTTTACTTTCTGGAGGAGTCTAGAAAGCAAATTTTTTGCCAAAAAAAATCGAAAGGTTTTTGAGAGGAAGGAACTAGAATCAAGAATGCCCTACATTAAAATTTCTTCATGACAGCGTCCAAACCCACACGCCATAAAGAGTAAAAGAGTTTTGGGGATAAACAGACAGGTAATATTTGTCACTCAATAATATTCGCCAGATCTGTCACCCTTTGACTTGGCCCATTTTCCAAACTTGAAAAAAAAAACACCTTTCAGAAAGAAGAAACAAGGGCAAGAAATGATAGGATATGCCACAATCCAGTATACGAAGGGCCATACTGAAAAATGAGTTCTTTGTTTGTAAGGATTTTTATGAAATTTTGCAATACAGTATAGAATACTGATAAGGTAATTCAAATTCATTCTGATATTTAGAGATGTAAAAACAAGATTTGTTTGTGAAACACTATGCGCCCGGCGGCAACAAAGTTTAAAAAAAAATATTTTTAGCAGATAAGTCACAGTCAAGGCCACAAGGTCATCGATCTTGGTGTCATTTAAAAGAACTTTATTAGTGGAGTATTCATACCAAATATGAAGTCTCTATCTCTCATGGTTAAAAAGTTATGGCGAAAGTTCGAAAAAACTATTTTTAGCATATAGGTCACACACAAGGTCATTGATCTTGGTGGCATTTGAAAGAACTTCATTGGTGGAGTATGCATTCCACATATGAAGTCTGTATCTCCCATGGTTCAAAAGTTATGGCAAAGGTTAAAGTTGACAACAGACAGACAAACAGATAAACAGACAAAAAAAAAACAGGACAGAAACAATATACGCCTCGGATCTATCGATCCAAGCGCATAAAAATATTCAAAACTGGATAAAATTAAAATGATTAAGTTGATGACTTCATTTTCTCTACGTTATTTCCCCGTCCTTATATGTTAATATGCACTAATCACCTACATATGGAGTGTTATCACCTGCATGTGGAGTTTATGTCTCCCAGTTGATTATGTGCTTCGTTATTAGCAGACCTATTTTTGTATTCATATGAAGCAGAATTTGTGCAAAATCTTATGCGTGAAAAGAAGAAAACACTTGCTGTGCCCTTCAACTCAACATTTTGAAATATCGACGACGTTTTGTCAATTAACAATGGTAATTTCCATTCTTATGTCGATACGATATATCCCGGTGAGCTTGAAAAATACAAAACAGGAGCAGAGCAAACACGGACCCCCAAAACATCAGAGGTTGGATCAGGTGCATGGAGGAGTGAGCATCCCCTGACGACCGGTCACAACCGCCGTATGCTCGTTGTTATGATCGGGAAATAATGGATAAATACGTCGTCAATTCAGTGTATAAATAATTGACTGACAATCTGTATGAAAAATGTCAGTCAGCATTTGACTCAATGATAAATTGTATGTGCTGACAAGGTCATTGTATCGACCATAGAACTTACGAAATAATGACTTTAAACGAGATTGCTGATATTCTTGTTTCATCAACTTGTTTGTCAATAATTTACATCGTCTTAGAAATTTTTCATACGTAGAACATGCTCTTCCGTATTGAATCAGATAAGATGTATAAACTCCGCATGCAGGTCATGAAGGTATATTGCTGCATAAGTAAGGGAAGTTGACGACAGAAAAGTCATCACCTTTATCATTGAGCTTGGTTGTTAGATTGCCATTAATGTTTTTTTAGGTAAAATATCCAAATATGAAACAAATGTATCAGATTCTGTCGTATCTTTAATCTCAAGCTCACCAGGATATATCATATCGACATAAGTATGGAATTTACCATTGTTAATTGGCAATACAATTTGATGAAGCAAGAATATCAGCATTATCGTCTAAAGCTCATCATTTCGTAAGTTCTATGGTCGATAAAATGACCCTGTCAGCAAATACAATTCATCATTAAGTCAATCGCTTACTGACTTTTTTTCATAATGATTATTAGGCTATAATTAACACACTGAGTTGTACACGTATTTTTCCGTTATTTCCCGATCTTGACAAGGAGCACATGATCAGTCAACAGGGGATGCTCACTCCTCCATGGCACCTGATCCCTTCTCTGATGTTTTGGAGGTCCGTGTTTGCTTTGCTCCAATCTTGTATTGTTTATGGACTTCTGAGCTGAATACTCATCGTTATCTCCACGTTTTTCACAGAACACATTGCTCTGCAATCAATTCATCCGTTTATTCTACTTCTACTATATTCTCTATAAGGATAACTTACTGATAATGCCAGCAACATCTGTAAAAACCGTATACATCTATGCACAATAAAGTAGTGATAGATACTATAATATACAATTTATTTTTATAAAAAGGGAAAAAAATGCCAACAAAGTAAAAAAAACTTTGTCAGTTAAAAAGAGAGTTCATTACTCCCACTGTACCTAGTGTGTGATTTTTTTTTTATTAAAGTAAGGAAATATATGTTATATATATGATGAAGAATAATTAAGAATTAAACAAAGGAAAGCATTTGTAATGATATGAGTAAAAAAAAAGATTACAAAATTGCTATAATAGATTATTCTCACTGATTGATGTTTATAAAAAAAAAAAACGACAACGAACCGCGATCGATTTTATTACAACTACCCCTAACAATCTATAGTGAGAGCTGTAAATTGTAATTTTATTCTTTAAGTGTATTAAGTAATCCACAAGATGGCGATATATTTTAACATATGTCCACATATGTAAATCTTGCATTTATGGTGATATAATTGACATGTGAAACTTTTTAAACCTTGACATTACAATTGTTTCTTACACACTTAAGGGTTCTCTAAATCTATTAAGTGGAAAAACCCTCACACGTTAGTTCTCTGAAATACAGTTGTAAAGAAGGACATGTCTGTCCTAAAATAGAATTTCGTCATAAAACTTTGCTATAGAAATGGACAAATTTAAATACAGGACAAGAAAAACCATTAACAAAATAAATCACCAAATATTTGACTCTTCCAAGAAGAAACTAAAACAAAATAGGATATTCAACGTTGATATCGATTCAATTCTATAGAAAAGAGGAACTTTTGATTAGTTTTACAAAAACCAGGTACAGTCTAATTTGAAAATTGAATTTACTTATTATTTCATTAATTATTTTAAAGTTATTTATTGATTAATTTTAATTGACTGTAAACAGTCTATGTTAATAAGATTTTTGATATTCATTCCTCATTAATACGACATTAATTTTATTGAAAATATTGACTTGTATTGTATCAAGTATTCAGTCCTTTTCTTCCCTAAATTGTTGTACATTTATAGTTCTACTTTTTATAGAAAATATACACTTTATGCACTCAAATTTTAAGCTGCCTTGATGTAGTACAACTCTGGAAAATATTGACTTGTATTGTATCAAGTGTTCAGTCCTTTCCTTCCCTGAATTGTTGTACATTTATATTTCTACTTTTTATAGAAAATATGCACTTTATGCACTCAAAGTTTAAGCTGCCTTGATCCAGTACAACTATGTTAATTCTTTTACCATATACTTTACATTTATTCTGACTTCATAAAAAACAAATACACTAAATTTGAACCAAAAAAAGATACCAATATTTGGGCTTTATTACTGAGGACGTCTGAGTGACCTCCGTTATGGCGACCCGGCTCTAATTAACTTTATATCGCGTTCTCCGGACACCAAACCTTTGTCATATTTATTAGATCTTAAAATAAAGAATAACTGTTTTTAGTTTAATACTCTCCTTGAACATTTCTTTTAAACATCTAGATCGATCTAGATTTTGTTATCCTAGATTTTTTACAAATCTTATTTTTAGGTTTGAAATGGGGGATTTTTTATTACATTGGCAGGCGTATTATAAAATTGAGCTCCTTCTCCGTAAGCTATTTTGATTCATATCAATTGTTAGGCTTTTTTGCGGAATGTTCAGTCCACCTGATCAATACAAAATGATTATGGCTGGAAAGATAGGTAGACAGGGGATGCTTTCTCTTCCTCGGCACCTGATCCCACCCCTTGAAATTCCCGGAGGTCCGTGCTTTTGGCCCTATGTTATTTCCATTTTTTTGCCTTCTAAAACATGAATCAGATTTCAAATATTCAGTGTGAGATAAGAGATTACTACCATCTATATTTTAAATAGTTTTCATGCCTAATGAGTTTTAAATTAATACTTTTTATGAAATCTCATCTTAAAAGGATGTAAATTGAATATGGGAAACCCACTCTTGTTGCGTAGCGGATTGAAATTTGTAAATCCCATCCTCTTTGTTAAATTAAAACAATTATCCAAGCGATTATATTAAAATATGTATTACTTTTTAAATCCAGTATCATTTCTCCTTAAATGGAGTTAGCTCTATGCATAGATTAATATTTAAGAAATGTACATAATTTTGACCTCCTTTTGTGCATAACTGGTTTAAATTCTGGATGGAGATGTACAGATGGATTTGAATCCTGTTCAATATTTTTTCCTTGTTTAGGGGTAAAGTGATTACGCATTAACTTAACGTGTCAAAACGGTTTACATTGTATGTTAAATGATATGGAATAATTTGGATTTTTACTTCTGGCAATGAAATACTTCGTCTTAGGTAAGAACAGTATACAAGCATGGTCATAAGTGAGTCATAATTGCATTTTTACACTATATATTTCAATGAAAATCCAATTTATATAAATTCTTGTTTTCAGGTCAATCTTAGCTCAGTTTCCATGATGCATTAATCATGCAGAATAGTTTAAAATTCCGTGTCTTAAAATGCTAAACAAAATGATACAAAAATTATTGAGAATAAATTATGAAAATTTTTAGATAAAAATTTCAAACCTCAAATTACTATGATTTGTTAACCAATTAGAGTTTCAAAATGTTTATTTAGCTATTGACCTATAATATCATCAGAATACATACAGATAAAATTATTTTGAAATAATGTAAAGAAACTGCTAAGAATTTTGCATTTTATGGTATTTTAGTCAATGAAATATATAGTAGAAAAATAAAATAATGACTCACTTATTATCAGGTACTGTAGTACAGGAATAAAAATAACATAATTTCTTATACAAGGGGTTGATATGACGAAATATATGAAAAATAACGAACATTAATCGAGCTCAAGAGTCTATTAAACATTACAAAATAGCAGATGAGCAATCATGGACCTCCAAAAAATCAGAGGTGAGATCAGGTGCCATGGAGGTGTGAGCATCCTCTGCCGACCGGTCACACCCGCTGTGTGCTCGTTGTCATGTTCGGAAAAAAACGAAAAAAATCCGTCAGCAACTAAAATATAACATTGAGTACGTGTTGACGACACAGTAAGAATAAAGCCGCAAAGCCGCCTACATAAACTTTCACAAACACAATACAAACAGGTTTTCCGAGAACTGACACTTCCCCTTCAAACAAGCTAGGTTAAACTGAAGAAGTGAAGAAAATGTAGGAGACTTTTTAAAACTATATTTGTTAAAACTTGCAAAACACATTACAAATTACTTAAAAAAATAATAATAGATATTAAATACCGGGTACTTTTATGCATTTGCAGATAAAACGATTAAGTTCAGCATTCCATAAATTCTGTTCTTAACGTTTTCTTTATATTATTAAGCTCATAAAAAATTAAACCTAAAAAATGTATACTTTCAACTAAACCTGAGCAAATTTGATTTTTGATAAATCCACAGCTTATGAGTTGAGAAAGTGCAAACAAACATTTGTTAACCTGGTAAAAAATTAACTTAGGTTAAAAATTTTTGAACTGGAAGTTGAAAAAAATATACGAACTTGTAATAGGAACTTCAAATTTAACATTTCTATTTACAAAATTGATATTTTCTACTGAAATATGAAGATGACAAATATAAAGCAAGCTTAAAATCTCCTTGAAACAATATTTTAACAATTTGAAATATACATATCTTACAGACAAATTAATCCAAAAATATCAACCAGTTTCATAGTATTCAAGCTCAAAAGATCTACAAGCAATACAAATCTGGAGTAGAGCAAACACGGACCTCGAAACATCAGAGGTGGGATCAGGTGCCATAGAGGAGTGAACATTCCCTGCTGACCGGTCACACCCGCCGTGTGCTCCTTGTCAAGTTGGATAAATAACGGAAAAAATCGTCAATTCAGTGTATAAATAATGGACTAACAATTTGTATGAAAAACACCAGTCAGCATTTAACTCAATGATAAATTGTATTTGCTGATAAGGTCATTTTATTAACCATAGAACTTACGAAATGTTGACTTTAAACGAGACTGCTGATGTTCTTGTTTCATCAACTTGTTTGTTAATAATTAAACTCGTTTTAGAAATTGTTCATACGTAGGGCATGCCTCGCTTATCGAATAAACTGAGAGATATAAACTCCGTATGCAGGTGATGAAGGTATATTGCTGCATAAGTAAGGGAAGTTGACAATAGAAAAGTTAGTCATCACGTTTATCAAAGATAGATCTTGGTTGTTAGATTACCATTATCGTCGTTTTCAAGTAAAATATCCAAATATAAAACAGCTTTGTCAAACTCTGTGGTATCTTTTATCTCAAACTCACCAGGATATCTCGTATGGACATAAGAATGGTAATTACCATTGTTAATTCACAATACGTGGCTGATATATTTAAATGTCGAGCTGAAGGCCACAGCAACTGTTTTTTTTATTTTCACGCATAAGATTTTGTACAAGTTCTAATTTATGTAAATACAAAAATAGATCTGCTTATAACGGGGCGCAGTTGGCACCCATTGGGATTCCAATAGATAGTCCCGGTCTCCAAAAACATTATTGATATTGTCAATCAGAAACTCAAGTTGATGTCAACTTCAGGGTACTCGTGTGTACAATCAGAATGTTTTTTTTAACAAAATATATAATTTTGCAAATGACCAATGACAATGTAAGTAAATTTACGAGTTCCATTTTGATTGAAAAAGCAGCTGCCGATGATATCAAAAAGCCTGGACTTTAATTTATCGTGGGGAATGGTTGTGTATAAGGTTGAAAAATCGTAAGTTTTTAAATTGTTGATTTTGGTGAAATCTTGTGATTTCAAATTGTCCAAAAGTTCCTTGGAATTTTTAAGTATTCACATCTGATTTACACCACTTCTTGAATATATTGTTGCACAGTACTCTAAAAGTTTCTCCTTTTTCTATCTTTAAAACGGCACTCCCTTCAACATGTTAACTATTAAATCATGGAATCACTTGTGTTTTATAACCATAATTATGACCAATTTTGCGAAATATGTCTTAAAACCTTGTTTCAAATCCCATTATATACTGAGTATATTTATTAAGATAAAAAAAATTGATTGATATTCATATCACGTTGTAAATATCAAATACTGTTGCCTTAATTATTCAAACTTCTTTTATAAATCAGCAGGTATCTCTCAATACATCTTCCTTCTTTAAAATAATTTGAAATATGAATGCAATTATTCGATTAAACTGCTGTGTTCTAATTCTTGACCTATTTGTACTTGTTATGTACCGGTATTTTTGTGAGTTCATGTCCTTATTTTTGATCTTTATGTAATTCACCTATTTGGACGACAATCTGCTAACTTACTTTTTTTTTTTTTTTTTTACATTTTTACTTTGACTTTTTTATGGTCTTGTATTCATACTAAAAAGTGAGCATTGAGGTTATATCATATCTCTCATAAAAAATTACCATGGAACGATTTTTCAAAGTAAAAGGCTTCTTTTTTTTAATTGAAAATGTAAAATTCCCAGAATAACATTTTATTTATAATTTCCAAAGAATTCCTTTGCAACATATTCATTTTTTGAAGTGAGATATGCTTCTTAATATTCAGACAACAATTCCCATTCTTTAAGAAAAAATATATTTAGGTTCTATAACATGCCAAATGTCATATAGTTCTACAGAATGGAAGATTATGAAGAATGAAAAATGGGTTTCATCTATCTCGTGTAAAAACATGTGAAAATTTGCCAACTGCGCTGTATCAAATGATGTACGTTGATATAAGATTTATTTATGAGGTTAAAGTTAAAATTGATTATTATTGTCGTATGATTTATACCTTTTTAATTAACGTTTTATCCCAAAGAAAGTAACGACCCTCAATAATAACTCTTGCATTTTCCATTTTTTCCATCGTTTTAAAAACCAACCAAACAAAAAAGAACATTTTGAATATACAATATACTATGAAAAATAAAATAATTTTAAAGAATCTTTTTATATTCAACTTCACGAATTCAAATAAATTTTAAAAACTCGTTTTTACATTCAACTGCAACTAAAGTGCGGGAGAGCGCCCATATTCTGAAAATATAAACGCATACTGACATTTTTGTGGCAGTAAATATTGACCTTCCTTATGCTGGTATCTTCCGGGTTTTGTACTTTCGGTTTCAGTACTCTGCATTAGAATTAAGTATAGGAAGCAATGGTATGTATACAGTTTATTCACTTATATTGTCAGATTTAACATTTACACGTTGGATATCTGATAATATCCTATAGTTTTAGGTACAGTCGGAATCGAAATTTATACACATATTTTGCATTAACATAAGAATGTCATAATTAGTGGCTTTAATGATTCGAAAACTGTTTACTTTATTTAGGGGTCCTCTTAAAACATGTAAAATGATATATACCTACGTTATTTTTGTAAAGGTTAATGTCTCCGTTCGATTACCTTGTAAAGGTTAATGTCTCTGAAAAGTTTAGGCAGGACTTTCTGGCATAAAAAATTAAAATTAAAAGCAATGTTCCAATGTAAAATGTGAAGATAAGGAATACCGTTCGATTACCTTTGCTATGTACAACTACGCAGATTCTTTTTCGACGCAGATTTAGAACATGAGAGACATTTCTGGTTACTATGAAGAATGCTCTTTTTTTAAAAAAATGATCTAAATTTTGCCTAATTAGCTTACAGAATATGAAGCGAAATATTAAAAATAACATATTTTTTAATTTCCTTAATTTGCTTTAAGGTCTTAGTGGTGATATATTTTTATTATAAGGCGAACTCTGAAAAGTTTAGGCAGGACTTTCTGGCATAAAAAATTAAAATTAAAAGCAATGTTCCAATGTAAAATGTGAAGATAAGGAATACTAATCAGTCTTCCTAGACTCCCATTAGATCCTGTTTAAAAATTAACTTCTCATTGTAAAATTCAAGTTTACTTAGATCGTCATTTTGAATTCAGTTTAAGAGTTGAACTTCTATCATATTTATTTGAAATAAATGAAAATATTTTTGAAATAAAACACTTGCATGCGTCTGTAATTGCAACAATGCATATGTGAGTTGGGGCTACCAAAATCGATAAAAATTTCCTTCTGTAAAACTTTGTCTTGTTCGTGTTCTGAATTCAATCCTCCTTTATGATTTCTTTCTGTGTGCAAGGGTACAGACAAAAAAAAGTAAGAGTTAGACGTATTTTGCCATGGTAAAATTTTGCTTACAATTTCATTTAGTATATTGCAACATCTGAACCCGTACAGCTAGGTTTTCCCAATATTCAAGGAGCGCAGATATTGGCTGTTCATAAAGCCTTTTCCTAGAATTGTCTTTTACGTTAACATGGGATAGTTTTTGAACACATTAATGGCGTATGTTTCTACAGTGTAAATTGTAACGATAATTTTGTTTCGCTCGTGTAAACGCAATTCATTGTACATATAATTGACCTCATCTCAGTAGAAACGTTTTTTTTTAATATATTTTTTTTCATTAATTTTGGGATTAAGCCGACCTCCAACCTTTGAAACTTTCCTTTGTGTAGTTTGTCTCTATCTTATATTCATATACCTTTTCGCCCATATTATTGACATTTGCATTTGTTTCTGTTCAATTCATTTGTTTTTTTTTAATCAGTACCTTCTGTCGATCTTGTACATATTAATTTTTACCTTGTGTCCTTTAAAAACTGTAACTGTCTAATATTCGTGTTTATGCATTCTAGCTGATGTCGACTAACTTTTAAGGTGTAGTTCTTGTCTTTGAGTCATATTTTGGCTGACTAGTTTCATACCAATTGTTGGATCTTTGTTTTTATATTGCTTACTCCTCCCAGGCACCTGATCCCACCTCGGGAATTCCCAGGGGTCTCTGTTTTATATCCTCTTCACATATTTGAGTTATTTATAGATTTGTTTTTTTTATATCGATCACTGTTTACTTTCTTTATCTTTCACGTTTAATAACCTGTTACTAGTATTATATAACTTATATAACCTCGTTTTAAAAATTGTTCTATTATTATATTATACTGAATGTTTTATACAAATACATGTTACTTCATGATGAAACAAGAATATCAGCAGTCTCGTTTAAAGTCATCATTTCGTAAGTGCTATGGTCGATACAATGCCTTGTCACCAAGTATAATTTCTTACTGAATGCTGACTGACGTTTTCCATATAAAGTGTCAGTCCATTATTGACACACTGAATAGACGACGGATTTTCCGTCATTTCCGGATCATGACAAGGAGCACGCGGCGGGTGTGACCGGTCGGCAGGGGATGCTCACTCTTCCATGGTACCTGATTCCACCTCTGTTGTTTCAGAGATCCATATTTGATTTACACTTATTTTTTATTGTTTTATGGACTTTTGAGCTTGAATACTTTTCGTTATCTCATAAATTTCATGTATCAGCTTCTGTGGTATCTTTAATTTCAAGCTCACTAGGGTATATCGTGTCGACATATAAAAATGGAAATAATTGTTGTTATTTGACAAAACGTTGTCAATATATCTAATTGTCGAGTTGAAGACCACGGCAAGTGTTTTCTTCTTTTCACGTAAAAGATTTTGAAAAAATTCTGCTTTATATGAATATAAAAATAGGTCTGTAAATAACGGGGTGCAATTGGTACCCATGGGAATTCCAATAGATTGTTAGAAGGTTGATGCAGATTCCAGTAAATTCTCTACCAAGCCCCAATCGTCATTGCTCGCATTAATATAAATTGCTGATGACGAACCACAGAAGTTCTGTGCTGCAACTAATATAAGAAGTGTGGTAAATCACATATTGATTCTTCAGAACAGTAAAGCTCTGAAGGTGCAAGGGGTCGCTCTTTTGCCCTTCCATGATAATAAAATTTACAGGGATCATAGAATTGATCGATGTATGCTTTTTTACCTTTTCCATACAAAATGTATGTATTGAAAACAAAATCAATTGAGAAATGTTGTCTATCTTTAATTCAATATCAACTACATGAGTTTCAAGGGCAATAGAGCGTTATGTATCCAGTGATGGATAATTATGTATATATTATTCAAAATTAATACAAACAGGGTTTCCAATTTCTTATTCAATTGCTACTACGTTTGAATAACTACGCAACAAGAGTTCAAAGAGTTCAAAAAAAGGCCGAAAGGTAAGCACGGTGAATTTTTCCAACATGGAATTTCTTTAATGGAATCAAAGAAGCATATCCACCAAAATGGTTTATCAAATGTGAATATTTTCATGTAGTTAAGTTAAATTCCTGCATGTTACATATGAAAAAAGGATATTTATACTATTATATATTCTAATTGAAGTCTTTAATACAACACTTTAAACATTACATGTAACAGAACATCAGCAGGATCAATTATCACATCTCAGCAGTTTTTCCAGCCGATTAAGAAAGGTAGTAAATTAATGTTTGTATGGATTTGCATTTCATTCATGCTTAAGTGATACCTTTTTATTGATTTGTAAATTTACTCAAGGAAAACCAAAACAATGAAAGAGCAAACGTTCAAGTAACTTACTTTTTGAAAAAATAGCTGTATCCATTTCTTACATTTTGAGCGCTTTGATACGTTTGCAGTTAATGTTTGAATGAATTTAAAGTTATTTAATAGCTATCTGCCCAAAATATTCCATAGGGGCACACGATAAATCATTAAAATTGAGACGCAGTATAACTTTAAAAGGCAAACATTTTCCCGTAGCTTCTAAAATTGTAAACTTTTCAGTTTTTCAGGTAAAAATATTTCATCGACCCAAAAACAATGGTCTAGTTTGTGACCTGAGCACAGAATGGTCAGATGCGTAATAGTTTAAGGTGTACGTGAGGCGCATCGCTTAAAGACTATTCTTTAAATTCTTACAAGAGGAATTTTATGACATTTGGACATTTAGTATACCGATGTTTACTACGCACATATATGCTAAGCGTGATTTTATGGCATATTGATTGTTCTTACCTGTTTGTTTATATTTTCAGGTCTATAAATTGTTATTAAGCGGGAATGAGGATTACGTGGTATTTATTCTTCCTTCCCTGTTTACTATGCAGTGTCTAGCTTTGTGTTCTTTTCAACCGGGATGTTATTTACATTGCGTGAACGTAGAGGTAAGTAATCACATCATGTGTATACATCTTTTCTTTGCAATTGAATAAATTTATATATAAGCAGAGTATGATTTTAAAATTCTTCCTCTAATAATTGTTTAAAACGAAACCTTAAGGATTAGCAATCTCCAGTTTGACTCATATACTAGAAAGCTCTCTCTCGAGGCAATAGCATAATGCAAACAAGTAATTGTATATCAAATATGAAAAACCCTAACCCTGACTCTTCGTTCAGAATTATTTTTTGTCGATTTTTCCATGAATAAACAATATATATTAATCTTCTCAGAGAACGAGGTTAAAAACTTTAAAACGAAGTTTTAAAATAAACTTTTAGAACGTAGAATTCGATTTTGGGGTCAAAAAGGCAAAAAAAATTCGTATTTTTTTTTTCGATCCCTTACGCGTTCTCACATACACTGAAGTCGCCTTCGGCGACACTACATTTTAGCGCGTTTTTCTGGGGACCGAGTTACTGTAGAAGCACAAATTTTCGTGGGCATAAAATTTCGTTGTTTTGACATCATGAATATTTTCGTGGGCATTTAATTTCGTTGTTTTGAAAGTAACCCTATTCAATATATAGTCATATAAAATTCCGTGTGGGATTTAATTTCGTTGAATATTGTTTACAACGAAATAAACGAAATTTAATCCCCCACGAATATTTGTGCTTTTACAGTATTTCTCTTTACTCCTTCACAATCTTTAGTAACTGAAATAAGTCATCTTTAATAAATAATTTAATAAAATAATAGTAGAATTTTAACATGAATAAGTTATTTTGAATCATTTCACCCGACCTTCACAACCCGTGCATTGCAGGTTTTTCATCGTGCACCTGTTTAAGTAATTTTAAAGCTTAATAAATCCAAAAAAAAAAAAATCAAAGTCTCGGGAATTATAGGAATTGATTTATTCAGATAAAAACTAGACCAAAACGTAAATAACATCACAAAATCAAAATAACCAGTGAAATATCATTTATCTCCACCTTCTCACCAATCCTCAATTGGAGTCTATGCACTGCGTCTTGTATAAAATCTTGGACAAAAACAATGACACAATTGGATATAAAAGTAACTTAAGCTATTTTAAAAAGAACATCTGTGAGTGTAACATAAGTTATGTCAGTGTTAATCTTTTTACCTGTTTACATTATGCCTCTGACTGGTATATGTTTCTCTTCTCAGGCCTTTATTAAGTGGTAACTAACCCGGGTTTACGTGGTTATCAATGACCACAGGAGCAAAAAATATATATACAGCGCTCCAAGGTAAGTTATCATCTGCATAAATAGCTGATGGAATGATACATATGGAATGAACGAGCAGTATTCAAGATCAAAAGTCCATAAAACAATACAAAATAGGAGCAGAGCAAACACGGACCTCTAAAAACATAGAGGTAGGATCAGGTGCCATGGAGAAGTGTGCATCCCCTGCCTACCGGTCTCACCCGCCGTGTGCTCCTTATCATGAACGGGAAATAACGGGAAAATCCGTCGTCAATTACGTGTATAATAAATGGACTAACAATTAGTATGGAAAACGTAAGTCAGCATTTGACTCAATTGACTGAATGATATTCTCATTGACTCAATGATATTCTCAAACTGTGAATTGTGTTCAATTTTTTAATGATTTTTCTCCTCATATTTTGGGTCGTGTACTAGTCTACGAGAAAGACAGATTGAATTAGGTTTGGTCCAATAAAATCTCAGTGTATTCTGATATAGATTATAACGTCTTAGAATAAGAGAATAAGATTCTCATGGTTTCTATAACAGATATAACAGTGTAGTACTCAAACATTGAAAGAATATAAGTTGTTTAACCTTTTTTTAAATCTCCAGAGGACAGACAGAGGCATTATTTTCCAAAACTTGAATTTATATTAACTGACGTTGTTTCTATACAAATGCCGGTAATTATGGCTTGATAATTTCAAACATATTTATAATGTATTCCTATTTCAAAAATAATTGATTGGCCATTGTGGCCCTGCCCTTACTCAGGGGTTATGATTTTTGCAGACTTGCAACTAAAGCACACGTTAATATTTCCATGTGTCTTTTAACTGGAGATGCTTTTATAAACTATGATAACCGTATCTTTGCTGTCTTGGAAGATATCTTAGGATTCTTTTTTATCTTGAATCTGCACTACATGATGATACTTCAATTTAAATATGAATATTCATGAATGATTTTTTTAAGAAGATTTTAAGGGGGAAAAAATTCTTCGCTACCATGATTTACCGTTTTTGAGAAAAATATTATAGAGATTTTTCCTACATGTTAATATGTAAACTTCCCTCTTTCTAGCTCAGTGGTTATTGATATGACCTTTTCATGATCAAAGACGCCGTTTTTATTTCACTACTCTTAAATTATCTCCCCTTGAGAGAGGGCGTAGATTTTCATTTGAACATACTTTAATTTCCTTCACACAAGGATTCACTCAGCAAATTTTGGTTGAAATTCTTCCATGGATTCTGGAAACAAATCGAAAATGTGAAAGTCTACATAATGACAAAATGACACACAACAGACGGATGCCGGACATTCCTTACTAGGAAAATGCTCATTTGCGCCATCAGCTCGGATAAGTTTAGTAGGATGAACAATTGCTTTGCAATCTTTATTGAACCCGTTTGTAGCATTTTTTAAAAATTCAATCAGTCTTCAATAATTTTGGTAAAATGATAAAATAGTAGTCCTTTAAATCACATTCATGGATATTGAAGGGTAATTTGAATATTATACTCTTAGGGAAGCAGATAGTAAAATGAATTTTGTTTAGAATGCAAGGAGGAATAACAATTTTAACAACACAAAACGTGTATATGGAAAATACGGACCTCAAAATACAGAAGTGAATCCTGTATTATGTTGACTCCAGTGATGATTAGTCAGTACGCTATGACCTGTCTAAATTATTATTCTAAAGCATTAATCACTAGTTGTTTCCCTTGAAATATGTACTAGTATCTGGTTCCAAAATTATGAAACAACCCTAATTATATTTTCAAGAAATAAGAGAGGATCAGGATGTCAAATGCATAAAAATTAATTTCGGGTGAAGTTTAGTTAACTCTTGTACAATGTTCATATCAGTGAATCTGTTTGATTATTACACCCTTCACCTCCCGAAAAAATCTGCATGGTACAGATATCAACACGTACTATTTGAGAGCAACTGGAAGATATTTCAAGGAATAAGATTCTGAACTAAGCACAAACATACTGACAATTTTAGCCAATTATTCTTAAAAGATTTTTTCTTGGCATTAACAAATCGACACAGGGTTTGATCAAAGGTTAATAATGAAAGTCTGAATATCTTTAAAACTTGTGATTTTCCTCATTGAACTCTTTTGAACTTTTTTCTTCATCTTAAAATCTTTATAAATTTATTGTAGAAATAGTTCATAATGGAGGATTATGCCTGGCAGTGCGACAAAAGCCTGGCTGAATGCTTGAAACACGTGTTAAATAATGAATTATTCTGTGACGTCACACTTTATTTGGGCTCAAACATGGAGGCAGTCCACGCCCATAAACTGGTTCTCTGTTCTCGTAGCCCAGTATTTTATGCCTCATTTGAAGGCCCACTAGCTGAAAAAGGACGATTTATTATTACAGACATCGAAAAGGAAACCTTCCAGCAATTTCTTCAGTATGACAAATATTAGTTTATTACGTAGAATCCGTTAAATCATACGAGATTTTTACATCCAAGTGTATCTTATAAATATATATAAAACAAGATTTTTGTTTTGTTCCTTTCAGATATATTTACACAGATGATGTCCAATTATCGTACGAAAATGTCACATCTATCCTTTATTGTGCGCGGAAATATTGTGTTGATAAATTAACTAAAAGGTGTGAAATATTCATGGAAGATGCAATTGACATCGAAAATGTTTTTGGGATACTTGAAGAGGCTCATACCTATGGATTAATAGGCTTAAAAACCAAATGTGTGAAATTTTTAGTTACGAACATAAAAGGGGCTCTTTTATCGGAATCCTTTAGAAACATTTGTAGAGGCTGTTTGGGGACAATTCTTAGCATAGAAACTTTCAACATTGAGGAAGAGCTGTTGTTTGAACATGCTCTATATTGGGCAGAAGCTGAATGCTCGCGGAAAGGCTTAGCAATAACAGATAAAAACAAGAGAATTGCGTTGGGAGACGTGATAAAGTCCATACGCTTCCCCGCCATGACTTCTGATTATTTTGGGAAAAAAGTAGCCAGCTCAGAATTACTTGATGCGGACGAAGTTATCGACGTCTTTTTATATAATTTTAGCAGAAATGACGGTGAAAGGGGACAATCTATGTTTGAGACAGCTTCAAGAAGTTACAGACAAGTTTTAAGATTTCGTAAAACCCTTCGAGAAAGACAGGCTTCTGATGATAAAAATGAAATAGCATTTGAATGCAGTGTTCCAGCAACTCTTCATGGCGTGTGTGTCTATACCCCAAAGGAGGAATACGAGACTCAGGTGGTCTCTGTGGACGTGTTCGATCATGAGAAATCAAGCATAGCTAGCGTGGATACCCACGTGTTTCAGCACTCACGTGATAAGATACACGAAGTGTTCCTAAATAGACCAGTACGATTGGTTCCAAATAAACGCTATACAGTAACCACTAGTAATTCCTACTGGGTGAAATCTTTTTATGGGACACGTGGGAGGCAGTGTGTTTCATTTAGAAACGGAACAGTGACCTTTTACAACTCGGCCTTATCTGAGATTTCAGACTCGGACTCCGATTATGAATACTGGTTGAATACTTCAGTAGACAAAGGACAAATACCTGGGCTTTTGTTGTCTTGAAAATCAAATGAAGGCAGAGTTATGAAACTCTAATAACCGTTTTTCATTGTCGAACAATCTACATTCAGAAGGTTCTTATTGTGTTGACAAAGACTATAAAGTCCCACAAATTAATGCTAACGTTTTCAAAGATACATCCTATTAAAAAAATTAAAGAAACAAGTGTTATATAATTGACATTTTTCACCAACCATGATCGTTGTCTTCAAATTTATTGTGCCTACCTGTAGGAGAAGGAATTAATATTTTTGTAAACAGATGTGCTTCTTGATATTCTTATATTCAGGATTTACCAATTGTAGACATAGTTTACATATTTCAAATAATTTTAGCTTACTTATAAGATTTCTGGAGAATAAAGTACAATTCCTATAGTAGTACCAACTGTTTATGATTAGAATGTAACGCACTCTTCATTCCCTGTTACATTCTTACATTGACACCCTGGAGGAAATGTGCACGGAAAGCCAACAGGAGACAAGCCATAATAAAGATATTTCAGACACTTTACACAAGATCTTTTAAACTAAAGATATAAAGAAAAAAAATTATTTCAAAACAATTAGATAATTTGATTAACATTTTAGTTTATTAAATCAAATAATAGTTTATCCCAACGACAGCTTTATCTTTTTAAAGTTATTTTTAATAGATTTATTACACGTAGCTGACATCTGGCAATCTGGAGTGTCATTGTAGTTTCTGGGGATTAGTTTTATTTTTCCAATTTATTACTTTACAGTTGACATTTTGCTTATCGGAATAGTATTGTTCTGTCTTGAATTGTGTTTTCCTGTCATCTCTACGAAGTCTTTTTTCGTTTCATTAAACTCCATAGATGCTTCAAATGTGATAGATCGTCCTGATTCTTTGTATTTTTTCAGGTAGGAATCGGCATGTCCGCGGCCTTTCTCTCTACAGTACCAGTGCCCTTTATATTTGTAATAAGTATCAGGACCATATTTTTTTGCTGCCGTGGCGCTTCTCTGCCAGCTCTTCCAAACCGAACTTGCATCTGAAAGTCAATAAGATACGAATTAGAAAGTACAAAGCTTATTGTTTCTTGAAATTTTTTTAAGATTTAGTAATTTTCCTTCTAAAATGAAAAATAAAAGTGATCGATTTCATAAAAAAAACCTTTTTGCTTAGTTTTTTTGTAATGTTACAATAAATTTTTGACAATTAATCCATGTTTTGAGCTTGGTATTTCATTGTTGTCTTTATCTTTCATTTTTCTTTATTCTGTATCTTTATAGTTTTGTTGAAATAGTTTGATCCAAAAGAAATGAATTATTCATGTTTACATTCTATGCTTACATTCGAAAAAGATTACTTACCAGACATTGTTGGATATTCAAGACACAACACATAAATACAGAGCCAGTACTGACTTATAGGGTGCGGCTTTCGAGAAATGGGAATATTACTTACAGGAAAACCTTTTATAAGCTTCACAAACAACAATATCCTTATAGATAAGTAAAACTACTAAAAACAGGGTATTTTTTCACCAATGTGAGAGAGATGTTTCAGTGGGAAGTGAAAAAAAATTGCAATCTGTATCTTTTTACTTTTTAAAAAGTCCGGTAATGAAATTAGTTTCTTTCAAGAGAAATATATTTGTTTGAAATCAATATGTTTGATTGAAAGATATAGACACTAATTACTATTTGATGTTAAGGTGATGTCATCCAGAAATGTTTAGCTGCAAATAAAAATAAGCGAAGAATGATTCAAATATAGAATTTCCGACTTGACTTTAAACAGGAGATGTACGACTCTTAAGTATTTGATTTATTTTTTTAAAAAATCTATACTGAAAAATATTAAAGAAAATACATGCATTCAACGATAAAACTAAGCAGTGGAGATATAAATGTCATTCAAATTTTATTGATTGATTGTATGTTGTTTTACTTCACTAGTTGAGAAATTTTCACTAATGTAGAGATGTCTCATCCGAAGGACCCGCAACTTTCACTTCAAAGTGCCGAGAGCATGTCGAAGGAAAAGTTGCAACATGTACCCATTTTTTATCGACTTGGGTCAGTCGCGGCTGAGATTCGAACTCACGACCTCCCGATCACGGAGCAAGCGCATTACCGATTTGCGTACCATTTAAATTTTAAAACAGCAATCTAATGCGTTTTGTGAAATATTGCATAGGTAATTGTTCTTTGATGTGAAGTGTTTCTGTAAATTAGGGAAAAACCAATGTTTAACAATTTATATCCTCAAAACCTTTCCATTATTGAAATTAATTTTTTATATACACTTTGAAATCATGCGCTGAAGTAATTACACTGTATAATTAAAAAAAATCACAGGGACATCTTTGAGCTTATCAAATCATGAAATTTTGAAGAAAAACGACAAGTTATACTTTAAACATATTTTATTGAGTAATTTAATAAGGATTGGGACTACAAGTTATGAATTATTCTCAAATACTTATGAAATAACCTTTAAAATTTCAGATGGGTAAATGCTTATCATTAAAATATTTGAATTAAAATTTAAATTCATACAATTGTAAAATTCAAATGTCATTTTTTCGCTCTTCCTTTGTAAAATATTTACATTCCGTGTATTTTTCCTTATGAAATTAATTAGAAATCCACGACATTCAAATTTCTATAACACACACGAAACCTTGTCACCGCGCGTTAGAATACACAGCAGGGACTACATGCATTTTCTATAATCTAGGAACACCAAAATGTACAATGTTTTGACTCAATTTAATCAAATACTATAATCCTGTTAAATTAACGTAAAAATACTACAAATGTGCGTTTAAAATGTATTTGTCCCTTTTTTTCCTCGCAATGTTTGTTTGCGTTATTTAACTTTGCAACGTCATCTGACGTCACAAACAGCTCTAACGTCTATTAACCACGTTAGTTTTGAAGGGCGCTAAGTTCACATTGAATATTAATGAAATAAGCAATTATGAAGAAGGAAAATTAGAGAATGTAAATATAAGCATTGCATTCATATTTTTGGCTGTCTTCGGTCCTATAACACACCTGGCCGTGCCGACAAATTTATCATACCGCGCTAACGCGCGGTATTCAATTTGTCGGCACGGCCAGGTGTGTTATAGGACCGAAGACAGCCAAAAATATTAATTCAATGCTTAAATAAACTATGAGGATAATGCATGGATATCAAGCTCAAAGTTCCATTAAAATAATACAAATTGGTTGCATGAAGGATCTGGAGATAACGAACAGAATTCAGTCTCAAAGTCCATAAAAAATACAAAACAGGAGCAGAGCAAACAAAGACCTCCGAAACATCAGAGGCGGGATCAGGTGCCATAGAGGAGTGAGCATCCCCCGTTGAACGGTCACACTCATCGTGTGCTCCTTGTCATGATCGGGAAATAACGAAAAAATCCGTCGTCAATTCAGTGTATAAATAATGGCCTAACAATAAGTATGAAAAACTTAGCCAGCATTTGACTTAATGATAAATTGTATTTGCTGACAAGGTCATTGTATCGACCATAGAACTTACGAAATGATGACTTTAAACGAGTATGCCGATATTCCTGTTTCATCAACTTGCTTGTCAATAATTTACCTCGTTTTAGATATTGTTCATACGTAGAGCATGCTCTTGCGTATCGAATCAACTGAAATATATATACTGCGTACGCAGGTGATGAAGGTATATTGATGCATAAGTAAGGGAAGTTGACGATAGAAAAGTTAAGTCATCACGTTTTCCATATAGCTTGATTGTTAGATTACAATTAACGTCTTTTTTCAAGAAAAACATCCAAGTATGAAACAGATGTGTCAGAATCTGTGGTATCTTAATCTCAAGCTCATTAAGATATATCGTATCGACGTAGGAATGGAAATTACCATTGTGAATTGACAATACGTCGTCAATATATCTAAAAGTTGAGTTGAAGGCCACAGCAAGTGTTTTATATCTTTTCCTGCATAATATTTTGCGCAAATTCTGCTTCATATGAATATAAATCAAAGTACTGTAATTACTGAAAGACAGTGGTACGAATGATTTTGTTGATTAACGATCCTTCGAGAAAAAAAAATTGAGCAGCGATGATATTTTTGGCTAGCAATTACTGTGGCACGGGATCTCAATCTGAATTAAGGGTCAATCTCCATGTCCCGAAGAATTTGTAAAATAATATGGAAATTATAAAAGTTTATTTCATTTTTTCAAAACATATGCTCATGTATTTTAATATATAAAGAAAGAGGGCGTACAAGGCGTAGAAAATCCCTTGCTCTTAAACAAAATGTTTATCAATTTTCAAAATTCAAAGAAAACTTTCAAAACATTTTATTTTTTTATTTTACTGAACGACTTATCATTTGATAATTTTTTTTTTCAAAATTGACAGTTAAGCATATTTAGTAGAAATCGGTTACCTAGAGCTATAAAAAAAATGAATTTTGAACATGAATGAGTGAAGTATCCACTCTGAAATGATGGAAACGTAAATGAGAAATCTATTTCATTTGTCCAAAAATGGAATCTGAACCTTTCTATATGAAAATGGAAAATTTATGAAAAAATGTACCCTTCAACAAACCCATTCATTTAAATCACACTGACAGACGTCGACAATTCATATCCTTCGTAGCGTAGTGGTTAAAGTGGAAAGTGTTGGACTAAACCCTTCGCTAAATGCTGACTGACGTTTTTCATACCAATTGTTAGTCCATTATTTATACACTGAATTGACGACGGATTTTTTCCGTTATTTCCTGATCATAACAACGAGCACACGGCGGGTGGGACCGGTCGGCAGGGGATGCTTACTCCTCCATGGCACCTGATCCCACCTCTGATGTTTCGGAGGTTCGTGTTTGCTCTGCTCTTATTTTGTATATTGTTTAATGGACGTTGAGATTGAATACTGTTCGTTATCTCCATATCCTTCTCTTCGAGTCATACATGAAACTTTTTCTTTTTCGTTTTCACATATCTTATAAAACATGAGTAAATAATGAATTATTAATAAAATATAAAATCAATGAAAATAGAATACTATGTGTAAAAGATGATATAAACCATATAATTTTGAAAAATATAACTTTTAGAATTGAGAAATGTTTTTTGTCAGAGCGGGGAGATTGTCCTCGCCTTGTACGCCTCCATTCTATATTTTTGTACTAAAAAGTAAAGTGGGTTGAATTCTCACTGTAATCTAGAATTTTCACTACTCTTGAGGACATTTTTTCATTAAAATTATAGCAAACTTCAAATATATATATATATATATATATATATATATATATATATATATATATATATATATATATATATATATATATATATATATATATATATATATGCATAAATAAACAAATTGTAAGATTTTAAATAATGT